GGAGTTGGAAAGGATTGCCCAGGACAGGGTTGGATTGAGAATGTTGGTGAGCGGCCAATGCTCGCATTAGTCAATAACGGAATTAAATAAGCTAAATACGAGAATGGATTTCGAATACATATAATTTGTACAATCATTGATCTGGGCAGATAATCAGAGGAACATAGTGAAGAGAAGTACGCGAAGCAATATATATAATGGTTTTCGAGAAGCAGTACAAAAAACAATGAACGATTTGTATGAGAAAAGTATGATTGAACCGATTCAGTCTTCACCATGGCGTACTCCTATTTTTACGCCATCTAAGTCGTGTGGCAAGACTCTGTAGAGGTAAATAAATCACCGAAATCAATAGCTCTGTAGGTTTTCGACATTTGGTGCTGACCAAATTAGTTTTAATGGACTCATCTAGCTGAAGGTGACTGGTCGCACATCTGCACCAGATCACAAGTGAGAACGCCGTGTTCAACTCCTCCTACAACCGCTATCCAGTTTAGATCAGTCACTTCTTGATATATTAATAGCCTATCAAATATATCTTCAAACTTCTTCGCTTCTTACTTCAGATTTCATCGGGTGGACACGTTTTGATTATATAGATATTACTCGTTAAGGTGTTATCAAACTCCAAATACTTGTGACATCCTCAACCCCTAGAATATGTTGTGACTACAGATTAACAACGAACTCCCGTTTGTTGAAGCAAACGTGTATGAGGATAGATCCTGAAGTTATTCTAATGTGACCTTGCACGGGTTCGGTTACGCTCGGTAACCACTCTTGTACTCCTTTGGCACGATCTCGGTATCCTTTCGACACCACGAGATCGCCAACAAATACATCTCGACTACAGACATCAACTGCCTTCTGATATTTGGCTTACGGGGGATTTTATCGTTTAACTGGCTAGTAGTCTTCTTGTAGTGGTGTTCATAGTCAATCTCGACTCGACATCACACTACAATTGGTGAACCCAAAAGCACGAAAAATTCTCAGACTCTGGTCAAATCTTCCAAAGAAGCCAATTGCGGTGAGTCTATTATTTATCTACCCAAGTCTGTCGTATATTTTCAAATTAATATTTTTCAATATATGATATACTTGACATGGCGGATAAGAATAGTAATAATATGATAGACTCCGATGTACGCGTACCAAATCATAGGTGTCTTTCATTCGCGTGACGATATATTTCACGCTTTGTTCGGGAAATTTCCCCAAATAACTATTCTCACTGACCCGGCTGCTTGGTACGGAATGCATACGCACTGCCGCCTACCACCCAGTGTCAAATGGTTTAGTTGAACGGTTTCATCGCCAACTTAACAGTGATTATCGAGCACACGAAAACGACAATTGGTACAAAACCTTACCGCTCGTCCTCTTAGGTATCAGAACGAGCTTGTTCCACCGCTGAACTTGTATACGGCACAAAATTTCGTCTGCCTGGGGAATTCTTCACACCACGGGGCAGCAGCGGTCTCGGTTAATCGGACTACGTCCATCGACTGTCTGCATTTATGTGAACACTGTATCCAGTGTCAACTCGTATACAACGTCTACAGGTCGCTCTCCCTCGAGAGTTATCCACCTGTTCACATGTTTTCATACGAGCAGATTCGGTACGCAAACCATTGCAACAGCCTTACAAAGGACCTTTTCACGTGATCCCTCGTCACGAGAAGACGTTCAAGGTTGATCAACATGGCCGCGTCGAGATCGTCAGCATTGATCGTCTCAAACCAGCACACGTCAATAACAGTGCCCTACACGGTAACTCGAGACTCAATTCAAGACCTATCAAATCTACTAGCAAGACCCTTACATCTACTTCATGTCCCACGCTAGATACACCAGAGACCTCATTCTCACGTCCCGGTCAACAGCACATGTCATCTGCACCATCTACGAACGAGACTATCGTCTCACGTTCTGGTCGCCGAGTACGCTTACCCGCACGCTTTCGCGACTTACCGCACAGTCAATAAAGGATGCGGTGTAGGACTATTCCTATACTACATGCATACTACGCTTTTCTCTTTTTTTATATTTTTGTATCCTGAGCCCACGCCCCCGACCATCGCCCGTTTGGTACCGTCGACTTCAGTCAACTTTGGCGAAAGCCGGACTGGCCACCCACACTCTTGTCAACGCACTCAGTCGATGTTCTGGTTTCGTACTTGATCGTTATGGTCGCTTTCGGTTTCTTAGCTCAACGTGGTTTCGTCCCATGTCTGCAGCGTGTTCTGGTTTGCACCACTACGAACGCAATATTCCGATCCTGGATACAAACCACTCTGGTGTGGTACGCTAACTTGAGCAACAAATACAGCACACTTCTGGTACCGTTCCCCGTAAAAGACCTAAGTTGGCAACTGAAGGATCAACGACCACGTCCTGTTCCGCCAATCCCCTCGTCCTACAATCGCACGTTTGCCGATCAGTCCCACGAATCAAACCGCTACTTATCGAAAGTGTAAACCCCTTCTGGCGGGGCTCCTGTAGTGACCTACTTTTATCAAGAGAACGCGACTGATTTAATGGAAACAACCATTATTAAAACCAATTGTACCAGTGGTTGTTTTACCATGCTCGTTTGTTTAATTGTGCTAAAGACAGCCATATTCCTACTCCATTACTCTCCATTACTTTTCCGCGGATTGTGACCCCGTACGTACCGATTAAGAGCATATGCCAAACTATTTCTTATGAGGAGTTATTAACCATTACAATAAGAAAAAGGAAGCAGTTTTTATGGTCAAGGTTGCCAGAACTTCTGGTCAACTTTTGCATTATTTATAAAAAGTCTGTCATGTTTGCATATAGTAATTATTCTGATATACTCCATCGGACGGCTGATTTATTTTCCAAATACGAAAATTCCACTGTCCCTCGCCATATCCTCTGTGACGTTGGTACTGGCATGAACAGGATCCCTAATCAATCAAAATTCTATCATAACCAGTCACGCTTTTCATTTTTTGTCATGGTGGACTTGTTTTCTCCTCAGAGTCAAATTCCTCTTTTCATCACACTTTAATTCTGTCTCGATCTACTTATTCTCGTTTTTATATTTTATGTACGCTGTTATTTTATTTCAGTCCGACTGTAGTTTTGAATTTTCTCGAGTCACGTTTTAGCCGAGCCAGCGTTGTCTTCTCATTTAAAAATATTTGATTCATTTGTGGGGCAAATGAAATGCCACGGTTACAGCAAGGTCACGGAGTAGTTGGGTCACTTAAAATCGAACAGTTCACTAATCTTCGTTAAAATCAAAGACAACCATAGAGTACTAATGAATTACACACTATGAATTGGCCTGTGTGGCAGTGATCACTATTCTGAACAATGCGTTTCTGTAGTATAGTTATGTCCGTTCTATATGGTCATCAAGGTGGCCGAAAAACTTGAATAGAACGGAAGAGTAGTCGACGTTGTGTATCAACCGCGAATTGTGACTTCGACGACGGCTAGAAGGTTATACCATTCCCGTCCAATTCGAGTAGGCCTACGGACACCTACACAGATGACCTTCATTGGTGATGCACACGTTGAACTTTACCAATGACTTCCTTACTTCGAACCCTGCAGATATGTCTGGCTTAGACAAACTGACTTAGAACTGTGGTTTTGGTAAATAATGATGATTAAGATCACATTGGTAAACCCTGTTTGCTGTGTGAGATTTGGACCATCTACTTGAACTTCATTTAGTTGAGTCCGCTCAAACTAACAAAGTCAGCAACAATGGTAGAGGAATACAGAACCATTTACTCTGAAGAGTGGTTTACCCTCGCAAGTTTGTCAAAATAATCTGTTAGTTTATGATGTAGCGGAACATTTAAACGACTACCGCACGTAAGGCACTACTCGACATTTTATATTATCTCGATCTTTCTTTTTACGATTTATAATATTTAAAAAAAATTTAATATGCTTATATATTCATATTTTGATTTTAAAAAAAAACAAACAAAAAAAACAAAAAATTATTTTTTTAACGCTATTACGTGTGCTTGAGTTTATTTTCCATTTTTTGCCGACATTGTGCTTTTACGCACATACGAGTGTACTTCGATACGCACTTACATTTTCTCTTTTCTTTTCCAGGACGGCTGGAAAAGAACGATGAAGTTTACGAGGAGTCAAAATTTTCATTGTAATTTTTTTACTATGTTGTACCTCGGTCCCATATAGTAAAGAAAGACGACCAGACGCTGCTAAACCTAGTAAGCTATCAGAAGAGTGTTTACCAACGACAAACTCGTTGGGTTTAAACTTCTGGCTGGCCACGTCTTAGGGTCGTCACTGCCCCACTAGGGGGGGAGTGATCTGTAGCGGTCAATAAATCCCCAAAATAAATAGCTCTGTAAGTTTTCGACATTGGATGCTGACCATATGTTTTAGTGGACTCATCTAGCTGAAGGCACTCGGTCATGCATCTGCACCAGATCACGTGTGGTAACGCTGTGCTCAACATCTACCGCAATCGCTAGCCAGATTGGATCAGAGAATTCCGATATATTGGTAATCGCCAAATACACTCTTCCGATCTCCTCGACTCTGTCTTTTGATTTCTCTTGGTGGGTACAAATCATAATAGAATGTGTTGCTGGTAAAAGCGTTGTCAAACACTGAATACCTGTGCCATCTTCAATGATATTTTGTGTTCTTTTCTGTTTCAAAAACCGATGGGTGATGAAAACCAGCCTTTGATAATAATACGTCTACTTTCCTTAACACATTCCGTTCATACAGAAGGTTTAAAAACGTCAATCCCCCTCGAGGCTATCTCAGTCAATTGGCAAGCTAGAAATCCTAAAACTAATTACCTATTATTTATACCACCGTGACCAAGAAAATTGACAAATATCCTCAAAGGCAATCAAAATATTTAAAAACTCTGTTTAACAACGAGAAGTAAACACTAAAAAACCAATTGATTGATGCAAATTAGTCGCTAGGATATTGGATATTGGATTAACCTCTGAGTTTTCGGAGCAATTTCGGAGGTAGCGCTACGTCGCGTGCCTTGCGAATAGTTTCCCTGACTACATTCACTTCCGGGGAAAACACATTTCTGAATTTATATGTTTTCTCATTCTTATCGGCCGTCATATATCAAGACTGCACTTAAATACTCAACGTATGCATATGGAGCATCACCAAGTAAGGACGTCAAATAAAATTTGCTTTAAAGTACTAATCAAACTTTTAGGACTTCAAAACAACGACCCTTTGTCCCAAAAACCACATGAATCCAAAGTTCTGACTGTTAAGAAAAGGGACAATCCTCAGATTGATGAACTATCGCTTAATGCGGCTATACTTATCAAACAATCTGAGTGTGCTCTAACTTCCAAGCACATTCCTCCTAGGTTCCAAACAATCACAAAGTGTTGCAAACAATTTTGGATGGCGAATTTTCCCGAGTGGTCTCGCATTCTTGAAATAAAACTGGACAAGGACCCACACTTTCTTGACAGTCATATTTCAGAACCCGGTTTCCCGCATAGTTTCTCTGCTCAGCTTTCAAAAATTTTTAATTTCAATATCAAACTAGCAGGATTCTTGGATTCAAGTATTGCGTCAGGAGAGGTCAGTGTTTTGGTGCTTAATCTGTATATTTAAAGTAAGGTGGTTATTGCTAGGTCAAATTACGCTAATCGCTCTTTGTCATATGTCATTTAGTGATTAATCGTTAGATTTAAAATTAAAAAAGGTTAATGTTTTGAGATTTTACATAGTATGATCTTACCTGAAACATGTTAAAGGTCAGTTATTTGACCGTTTAAGTGGGTTACTTATAGTTCACAGGTTTCTCAAAATCATGTGGAATGGTCTCGTTGACATTTCAGTTAATAGAACGTTCGATTGTGCTGTTTCGCGCTGCTGTTTAGTCTAATCTCCATAGCATATAGTCAGGCAAAAGACTCGGCGCTATTAAAACAGGTTTGTTCTTCATTATCTCTAAACTAGAGGTCTTTCAATCTTGGTTAAATATATATCTCTGTTTATTAGTTGTATGATGCTGACTAGATCTGAAGCACACTTGCCTCAGGCTGTATACTGATCGACTAACCAAGTAAATGTCCTGTAATCTTAAGAAGAAAAGTATATTGCATCACAAGTTCTTACCCTTTGAATTACGGTTAAAATCAGTATTAGTTAGTGTGTCAAGAGCTAATACGGACTGAATCTTTAGATTTCGTTGTCAAGACCTAACTATCAATTTGTTTGTAAAACGAGACAATAATTCCGACGTTTTGGCTGGAGTCCATGATATTTATTTCCAGGTAAATCGCTTTCGAATATAAGATCTTCTAAGTTCTCAGACAGGATGTCTCTAGCTCTTGAGAGTAGCTCTTTGTTCAAACTTTCAGCACTATCTAAACTATTACGATTATCACTATTCTGGAAAAGAACCTACTGTTTATAATGGACAAATAGTTTTCAGTTTCAGTTTGGAAAGGACAGGAGGCTTGATCGTCTGTGCTAGTCCTGGAAATGGTGGTCTGTCAGTTGATCCAACTTTCTTTTGAAAGAGTCGACGGATGGAGCCTCAACCATGTGCTGAGTTAATGAATTCCACTCGTTAATGATGCGATGAGAAAGTCGATAGTCAGCTGACAACTAATTTGTTCTGAGCTTGTGAAGTGTTCTAGAGTGTCCTCGTAAATCCTCTGTTTTGGAAGACAAGAAAAATAAGGACATATCAGGTGCAAGTTTATCACTAAGCAATTTGAAAACTGTAATCAAGTCACCTCTAGTTCTACGACACGACAACGGAAATAGGTTTAGCTTGGCCAGTCGAGTATCATACGAAAGCTTCTCTATTCCGGGAATCAGCTTAGTTGTTGTCCTCTGAACCTTTTCCAGAAGTTCACCGTCTTTTTTTAAGCAGGGGCTAGCCGCTTGTATGCAGTACTCAAGTTTAGGACGTACGAACACCGTATACAAAGTCAAAAACGTTTTAGCGTCGACATGACTAAAGGCCCTACGTATTGACCATAAAGTTCTAGAACCTTTGGGGGCTATTGCACGGCAGCGTGTAGTAGTCTTGAAGTCTTGGCTAACGATGACTCGTAAGTGATTGTGTGTAGCTCAGCGTTATTTATCGTGCATGTATCTGTGCCTTGATGACTGATATGCATCACAATACGCTTGGAAGTATTTATCGGCAACTGCCAGGTTTGGAGATCATTCAGATAATTTCTCCAGGTCGTTTTGGAGTTCTAAGCTATCACCCTTACTTCGTATCGTCCTCCATATCTTGACATCTTCAGCATATAGCAAAACCGATGATGATATTAGACGAGGAAGGTCATTTTCATGCAAGAGGAACAACACTGGCCCCAAAACTGTACCCTGGGGCACTTCACTAAGTACGGCTTCCCAGTTAGACAACTTTGAATTCACCCGAACTAGGAAGTTTTTTATCCACATTAACAGATTGTCTCCAATTCTAGCATTCCTTAGCTTATATAACAGCCGATTGTGTGGAGCTTTGTCAAAAGCTTTGCTGAAATCAATGTAGGCTACGTCTACACGTAACTTTTGGTCCTTAAGAGATCACCAGCTTTCACAAGCGACTAATAAGTTAGTGAGACAAGAATAACTTATTCTAAAACCATACTGTTTCTCCGAAAGGATCCGGTTTTCATTGAGGTACTTAAACAGCTTCTTCCGAATAATCTTTTCTAAGATTTTAACAACCACACTAGTTGAGCTAACGAGTCGGTAATTCTCAGGTTTGTGTTTCGTAACTGTTTCGAAGACAGGACTTGCTATGGCGTTCTTCCAGTCTTTTGGTAACCGACCCTGCATTACGGATAGATTAAAGCATGTACTTAAAGGGTTCGCAACGAAGTTAGATAATTCCTTCAGCCGCCTAGGATGCATCGAGTTCTTTAATGGTCACGTCCAGTGCATGTGCGGGGGGATTTGTATGCGCTGACGGGAAGAGTGCTTTTATGTTATATACATTGATAAAGTACTTCGAGAACATTTAAGCCTTACCAAAGTCATCTTCCACTAATGATGCGGCAGTACTGTCTCCCTATAATGCAGGAATATCTCTTCTTTTTGTCCTCTGGTTTATTTACGAATACAAGCGTTTAGGACATTCTATGGATTCCTAACTTTCTAGACTTACGGAGGGTCGAGGCACAGATATTCCGAGCTTTTCGGTACTGATATTTCGTCTCATCAGTCCCCAGCAACCTAAATCTATCCCACATTTTTCTTCTCTTGCGGAGATGAGTGCGAACCTCCCTACTGAACAATGGTGGAAAGTTTCTCGACCCCCTTGATATAGTCCAAGGGATGTGCGGTGCGGTAACTTTTAAGTATAAACTTCGAAATGCGTTCTAAGCCGTTTCAAATGAGGACTTTGGCTCTATTGTCCAAACTACTAAAGATGCTGAGTGCATGATATCTGGTATGTTTGCTTTCTAGACGTTAGTTCTGGATTGAGCTGACCCGTGCTCGTGATTGACAGTTATATGGAAGTCAAAATTTAAAACTGTGACCACTTTTACCTAGGGGTGGCATGTAATGGAGGTTCACAACGTTATCCTCATAGTGAGTCAATATAAGATCTAGTTAGGATGATTCAGTTTCCGGGTCGTACCAGGTCGCTTCTTTCACATGTTGCACTAGGGCACATGTGATAACCGCATCACCTAGTTCCTGACCGAAGGAATTATCTGACGATTCAGTTCGCAGATTTTCCCAGTCTACCACTGATGCATTAAAGTCCCCTAGGATTAGACATCGACCACTTTGTGACCAAGTATTGAGACTGCCTAGCAGGACCTCATTTACCCTACAGCTTGGACTGCGATAGACCAAACCAATCAGCAGCTCTTGTCCCTTGCATTTCAAGAGGCAACTAACTAATTCATACGTCCCACTCTCATGGGATACACTGTCGATAATCGCAAATGGGGTAGCATTCCTAATGAATAGAGCCACTCCCCCTCCTTTACGCTTTTGTATTCTGTCGGCCCTTACTAACGTAAAATTCTCGAAATAAGGGTCCATACTATCTATAGACTGTGCCAACCAGGTTTTTGTGACTGCGATTATGTCTGGCTTTGTAGAGTCAATCTGTACACCTAGTTCCGATCGCTTATTGAGCAAGCTTCGGGCATTAGTGTAACAACTTAATTAAACGATTTTGGAGTTTAGTCCGTTTCAACTAAACAACGAAATGCAATCTGTGGAGCGGTGACTTAGTGGCTAAGGCATCCAGCTTTCAATCACAGCCACAAGTTCGCGTGCCGCCCCACCTACTGCTCTTTGAAGAGTCGAGTAGTATCACTAGCCCTCATGCACAGGATGACTCAAAATCACGTACACAAATGTATACTTGTCTTATGAGTCCTGGCAATTATTGGAGCAGCGATTTTTCTTAAAGACATGTGATAATTTGTACACAACGTATCCTATAAAAGTCAACTTTCTATAATCTCGTTTCTTTCAGGTTTTTAATTTTCTACGGTTTTGTGATTCCGTTTACAAAGAATCGCGAACAGCTAAAGGATTTCGACGTGGCCATATTATACAGACCTCAATGGTTTACGAAAAGCTAGCAAATTATTACGCAAAATGTGTGAGTCATTCGGTTTTTTTCCATTTCCATCGTGTTTAACTAAGTAGCACTTAAAAGCTTGTATCAGATCGCATCTCCACATAGCACGTTTATTTTATACACTCGTCGACTGTTTAAACATTAAATATTCTTAGGAATATTTAAGATACATGATTCAATATATTTCTTTTCGACTGGTCACCGATAGTAAGACAATATTTACGACCTAAAATCTCAGTTTTTTTCGGGACTTGAATTCTCCATGTTCATTAGCAGGAACTTCAAGTTAAAACTCCAACATGAGGAATTCTTCACTGTACCAAAGAACTCTCGCAGATAATGAATTCAGTCAACTTTGTCTTACCTTTGGTTGTAAAACATAATTAAAACACCCGTGGGCCGCACTTTTCTACCAAATGTATATTCGAAGCGTCTGTCACGCGTTGTGACACAACCAAGTGAGCAGTGCCGATGTTATATGTAGGGTACTTGACACAATACCTAAATGTTAGTCCTAAGAGTCACATTTTAAGTGCTTGATGAATGAGTAGTCCGCAAGCTAATTTCCTCCAATCTCCTATGACATTTTATCATATCTATTTTTTGTTAATATTCTGCTTATAAGCATGTTATTTTACCACAAAGAAATATATTTGTCTGGCCAATAGTCTTCTTGATTTCTAATCATTCGAGGCTGCAGTTAAATAATACAATCTTGTAAGTAGCCATCACTCAGCAATATCGCATAATTCCGCTTATCTGTCGGTTCTTTATTTATTTATTTATTTCAACACATAGATATTGGTACAAAGAGGCACCAAATACATATGCGCCACACAAATTTCATTCGATATGTGTGAGGGCTGTGATACTGCCCGGGTGCCCAAACCGAAGCAGGTGGTTTACTCAGGGGACCACTCCCCGAGCCTTCGACCAGAAGGTCTGATCCACAAGGCAGTGGAGCATCGTCAGGCCATGCAGCCGCATGGAAGCCGGTTACCAGCAATTGGTTCATACGCCATTTGTTCCCTCAGGAAACTGGAGCCAATGTGCACGATTGGTTTGGAATCCGGTCAAAGCGCCGGACATTCGCCTCTCATTTTTGTAAACAACACCCCCGTCACGAGAAGTCAGTGAGTAGGACTTCCTTAGCAGAGGCTTTATACGCGTAGCCATGTGAGAGTATTTCGAGAGGGAGAGCGGACTCTCCCCACTCTCGATTCGCATTTTGTTCATCAATTTTTTCAATCTGAAATTAGTCCCATCACCTCAAACGTCCTTCATAAAAGTACTACACAACGATGATAAGTTCGTTCATAATACTAAAAACGTTTGCAATTCACATCATATTTATTAATTAACTTATTTGAACACATAAATATTGGTACAACGGGATTACCGAATACATATACGCCACACAATAAGAGTGAGGTTGTGGAGTGATAGAGCACGTAACCTGCGTATAATGAAAGAGAAACAGCGAACAGAAATTATTGCGTACAGCGAGTTAATGATAATAATGGAAGAAACAGCTGGTTTAGAATTCTTTCAGTTAAAGAATTTACGTTCACTTATTATGAAGAAACTAAACAAAGTTACACCAGGATCGCCATTAGATTCAATTCTGAGCCATATCTGATAACGTCTCTACTGACCGTGTTGCACCATTTCAAGCACTTCAGTCAGAGAGACGTGAAGGACCAATAGATTCCAGTCCTGTACAGCTTTCTTTAACACCACGATATCGTGTCATACAGTGACCACCTCCGCTTTTTCCAACCAGTCCCAGCGTTAGCAAATAATGCACGATGTGGAACTCCATAGGCATATATTCTTAGTACTTGTCCAAGCTACCGAAGTCGGTATTCCAAGATAGTGACACTAATTGAATTATCGTCCCTGTGCCCGAACACACGATGTCAAACCTCTGCATTACTAACATGGCGTTACCACTGGATGTCAGCAATCCTTCGGAGACAACGATGATCAAACACAGAAAGTCGTCTAACATCCTCAACTCGGAGAGGCCAGGTTTCACAAGCATAGAGCACAACTGCTCTCACCGACACGTTGTAGATCTGACCTTTTTCAGCCAAACTAACATCGCGAAGGCGCCAAACGTTAGTATAAGCCGCTCTGGCTTTCACTATACGTGAACTGGTCTCATCTCTCACGCGACCACCAGCACTTACGCAGCTAAGCAGATACATTAACTTTTCGACCCCGTCTATCCCCTCGCTATTCAGGGTGAGTGCAGTATCTGGGTTCTGACAGTTTTGTAAAAGTACTTTGCACTTCGAAGGTGCAAAGCACATACCACACCTATGGACACTATTTGTCAATTGACTAAGTGCGGATTGCATGACTTGGGTATCATCGCATAGTAAGACAATATCGTCGAAAAGTCTTTCTCTGAGCAACAGATTCACACCACCATTACCTACATCCATCAGAGCTGTTTCCGGAACGGCATCAATGGAAATGTTGAAGAAGGGTGGTGAGATTGGGCAACCCTACTGCTTGAATGGAACAATGGGAAGAGGTAGTCGTACGCCATCACTCTGCATAGGATATTTGTATATAGACCCTCCAAGATGTTAGTAAGCTTCTCAGGCACACATTTCTTCAATAGACAATCCCAGAGAACAGTTCTGTCCAACGAACCGAAGACGGCCTTAATGTCAAGAAACACTACAATTGTTGGCCTGTAACAAGTATGACAGTGTTCTAAAATTAAGCGGAGGGTCAAGATATGATCAATACATCCTCGATCAGAATGCGAACCGGCCTGTTCCTCGTGAGTCAATCTTTCTCCGGTTTTGAATAATCTACGAAGTGTGACGCAAGCCAATAGTTTCGATTCAATCGAAAGTAGACTTATATCCCGATAGTTGTTGAATAGGTGACAAATACCTTTAAAAGATAGGATTGACTATCGACCCTCTAATTCACAAAATTTTGCAAACAACTTAGTTCAATAGTCAGAAGGTTGCAACAGCACTTAAAGAGCCCCAAGAGTAGGTCATCTGGGCTTGGTGGTTCCTAGAGTTCCTTGGGGGCTTTTGTCTCCTGTCCAGAGGGAACAGAACAGTCTGGTCGAGGTCGCTGGGACAGCAGAACAGCTTAAGTGTTTCTCGAATAACTCCACCTACTGTGCTGACATTTAGTGTCAGCCAGGAACGGGTCGTGGTCTGTGCAAAGTTTGAGTAGATGGTCCATCGTTCAAGACATCGACATGTTATCTGTTGAACGCCCTTTATGAAGATCACTTAACTGATGGTACAATTTATCCTCGATCGCATCCGGGCTGCAACGTGCAGGGGAGTAGAAGATAACAAATGACATCGTTTTTCACACCGATTTCTTCGCACTTTGATGGGGCTTTATAATCTAACATCATATAGCCGCGGTTCTAGAGATACTGTTTCAGTATTCGTAGTCGGTGGTAACATTCATCCCATGGAATACTGTCGAACTACAGGACCTTTCCCAACAACTTAGCCTTCATTTCTGGAAAGGCCTTAAAATAAATTGTCTAAGCCTAATGAAATGTAGATAGGCAATCATCAGCCAAGGAGGATATCACATTCTGATTGATATTTGTGAGACGATGAATCAGTTAAATTGTCCTCCACCTAGTTTTCAAGGAATTTATGATAATTACTATTTGGAGTGCCATCAACTCAGATTATGTCACTTACATTGGACCTTCCGGTACTAATAGTGCATTAGTACTTGATAGCCTTTCCGAAAAATTATTGTTCATAATTATAGTACGTTAATGTATAAAATATCAGTAACTATCCCTTGTTAACCAAAACGTGAAGCTCTTTTAAATTAACGTAGTGTCTTGAATGTGTCTTTCTGTCCATTGTTGTTGGTGTACGAAGTTGACGAATGTATAACTTCTGTTTGCCTACACTAATCAGAATTTGTCCAGATTATAAGCGACGGTTTGCAAAGTGAATGGTCTTCATTGTTTTATTGTTAGATGAACCATCAAATAAAGCAATTTTGATCCAAACTTATACAAAAATAAGTCATGTATATTTTTTATGTGGTTCTAAATCAACCCATCACCCTTTAAAAGATAATAGACTATGGTTATACAACTAATATAAATATTACAAGTCCTTTTTGCACTTTTTCATTATTTTAGGGTGACTGGAGTGGATACATTAAATTACTGGAACGAATGAAACGAGAGGGTTTGTTACCTTCAAAAAATACTTATTTCTATGGATTCGAATGTTTGGGTAAACTTATGAACAAGAATGGATCTCAACTTCCATCGTCTTCGCACCCTCAGTCTATTTCAAAAAATAAAGCATTTAATCGCATAACTCCCAAATCAGTTATACCTATGGAAAAAATTGGACGCGAAGCTAAAAATCTAATAGGTGCTGCTGAAAAGGAGGTAATTTATTTTGCCCCTTTCTGTAATAAATGTAATTTTTCAGTTATCATTCTTAAATTGTTATTTTTAATAGTCAAATCATTGGCATTTTACGGGGTTCTGGGTATCTATGTGGTTGTGCCACAGGATTGATCCGCGCTCTTCAAGTTCCATTATTAAAACTTGGATAACGACTGATCCTCCTCAAAACAAATTAAACTTATCATCTATCAGAAGGGTATGTTTATATAGAAGTGAACACCTCCCAAATCCTCTAGTACGAGCGAAGGTGGTGAATCCGTTCACCCACTCATAATGCTTTCATATATCCACTGTTAGGGAAGTCCTTATCGCGACCAGGGCGTTGTTTACGAAATTGGGACGAAAAGCGAACGTCCGGAGCTTAAACCGGGTTCGTGAGTACGGAGGATCCACCTAGGAGAGTTAGAAAACCTTTATTCCAAACTAATTATGCAAATGGGGCTCAAGATCCCAAAGGAGCAAATGGCGTGTAAACCTATTCTTGGTCACCCGCTACCATGAGATATCGTCTCATTACGTTGCTCCGCTGCCTCGTGAATTAGGCATCTAGCTCAAAGGCTTGGCGACTGCCATCTAGCTCGCACACAAATCAAATAATGGTTAGAACTGAAAAAATACTCTCCCTCCAATTTACATTTTCAGAAATTGTATTTACAATTATTCCGAAACATTCGTTATTATTTTATATTACATCACTTCTATATTCTCTTCTTTTCATATTTTGTTTACTCCCTTATTTTTCAACCCATACAGCAGTTCGTTTATTATTGAAAACCCTCTCCCAGCCAAGCGTTCTCAAACCGCTTTTTGGTCGAAAGTTGAACGCTACATCCGACTACGAATACTTAAACAGTCTTTCTGAAACCACGTATACCATTCAAACTGGCCCCCTTCAACGTTAATGCGGATCGGACAACAGATAGGGTTGGCTATATTTTTATAAATTCATAATATCGATATCTGTTGTCTATCCGAGACTCATATTCAAGACTCTAGTAAAGTACTACAAGTTCTCTTTCCATCTGCCCAGATACTGCACTCACCCTGAATAGCGAGGGGATAGACGGGGTCGAAAAGTTAATGTATCTGCTTAGCTGCGTAAGTGCTGGTGGTCGCGTGAGAGATGAGACCAGTTCACGTATAGTGAAAGCCAGAGCGGCTTATACTAACGTTTGGCGCCTTCGCGATGTTAGTTTGGCTGAAAAAGGTCAGATCTACAACGTGTCGGTGAGAGCAGTTGTGCTCTATGCTTGTGAAACCTGGCCTCTCCGAGTTGAGGATGTTAGACGACTTTCTGTGTTTGATCATCGTTGTCTCCGAAGGATTGCTGACATCCAGTGGTAACGCCATGTTAGTAATGCAGAGGTTTGACATCGTGTGTTCGGGCACAGGGACGATAATTCAATTAGTGTCACTATCTTGGAATACCGACTTCGGTAGCTTGGACAAGTACTAAGAATATATGCCTATGGAGTTCCACATCGTGCATTATTTGCTAACGCTGGGACTGGTTGGAAAAAGCGGAGGTGGTCACTGTATGACACGATATCGTGGTGTTAAAGAAAGCTGTACAGGACTGGAATCTATTGGTCCTTCACGTCTCTCTGACTGAAGTGCTTGAAATGGTGCAACACGGTCAGTAGAGACGTTATCAGATATGGCTCAGAATTGAATCTAATGGCGATCATGTTGTGACTTTTTTCATAGTAGTTTAATGACTTGAAATAATTCTTTCTAGTTCTATTTTAATTAAGTGAACTGCTTCTCTTATTATTCTTTTTATACTCACCCTCCTTTGTATGTCTTTTTGTAGTCTCATTTTTATTTTTTAGTCCTTACGGATTTCGGTGTCCGTTCGTATCAGTGTTCCTCATCTATGCCACATTAGGTAGGTCGATGGACACCGACCAGGGAGGACAGAACCGCCTGATCTAGGTCGCCGGGACAGCAATCCAGCTAAACTGTTTCTCAAATAATTCTATCGACCCAGACGTCAATAGATGCTATTAATCGGTGTTCCGTCCGCTTCTCAGATTACTCCCGAAGCCCATTTGCACCACTGGTTTGGAACCAAGGTTTTCCAGCTGTCCTAGTTGGGTCTCCCGTACTCGCCAACCAGGTTTAAGCCCCGGACATTCGCTTTTCGTCCTAATTTCGTACAAAACACCCTGGTCGCTATAAAACAGTGAGTGGGACGTCCCTGACAATGTCTATTTACGAGTGGCAATATGAAAGCATTTCTAGAGGTAGAGTGGACCCACCACTCTCGGTCTTATTTAATGCATTCAGGGTCCTCTTTGCAGTAATGCAGGCACTTGTTAGATTTTATAGATCTCCGACAGGAATAGTCTTGACATAAGACTTATGGAATACTTCCTACTTGAAAGCTCTTCTGAGGTGAAATATTCTTTTAGTTCTTAGTTCCTAAAGTGCTACCTTATGTTTTAAGACCCTTTACCACTGGGTTTGCGATATCTTTGTTCAGATTATATTAAATGAATCAAGCTAATTATCAATAGTCTTCGTGAAAATCCGACAGAATGCATTCTAATTTTTCATTATTATTGCTAAAATTCCCAGCTCATTTTAGGACATCTGTTCTCAATTATTAGTTCATTACCCTGTTAATAACCTTTTCTTCTGTACATTCGGTGGGATAATAAAACTGTGTATACACATGTTGTTTGTCTAGTCAGTCTTTGCTGTCCCTAATAAGTTTTTTACTGAATATTTACTTGTGTTAGGTAGTAGCTTCAGGCAGAATAAAAAGTTACTTATATTCTTTGTTCAGAGAATAAGAACCTCAGAGTATTTCTCCTTTTTACATTTGATTCATTCATGTAGTTTATTTGTCTAATAACAAGTTGAAGGCAATTTAGCTATTCATGTAGTTTCATCACATGGAAAACAATGTTATTTCCAACAGCATAACAGTTTCACAGATTTATTATCCTCTATATTTTAAAACATCTTTAATTGACCATAAAACTATTAAATAAGTCAAAATAAAAGAGGCGGCACTAAATTTTTGTTCACAAGTAACAATTTATTAAGTCACTCCTTTGAGTTTATTCCTATTCTTACATTCTATAGAAAACTTCGCAGGGTGTTTGTATCTGTTTATTAATTCATTTTATTCATTACAATTGTCTGTTTCATTGATATCTTGTAACAGACCAAGATTATTTGTTTCTTAATCTTCACATGACTTAGCTATAAGTTTGTAATTCTCTGCTTCTCTAGGTAATTTTACATACTCTGTTAAGTAAAATCATGTTGTCAGTCAGTCAGTCAGCTACAACGTAGGACCAGGCACATATGTGCATCGGTCCAGGTTGCCATACCGCATCAGCACAACAAGATGAACACCGGATTCATAGCAGTGGTTATGTCAAAGGTGGTAATATATAAGAGAAAGATTGCATATAGAGATATAGTACAAGAAGAAAAAATTGGTTCGTAGAAAGAAAGGTATGAAGCGATTTTAATCTCTTAGTTTAAGGGAAGACAGGAAGTGTATACACCGACGCCATTGTGATCGATTCTGAGCCATGTCACCAAGAGTCTCCAACCATTGGTTACGATAGTCACCAATCATGTTGATGAATGTTTTATTTGTTGGCATTCATTCACTAAGCGACTGCTGACTATTCATTATTATTCTTGTAATTCCTATGGATTTAATTAATATACACGCTTTCTCTTTTTAAAGGGACATGATCTAACTCATGGTTTACTAGGTTTATCTCTAGAAGAAGGTTCATTGAGGAACATTCTCACTGCTTTGTTGTATGTCCGACCAAATATAAATCCAAATCTTAATTACTTTATACATTATTCATCCAGTAATATTTCAACACATACCAAACGTATCAAGGAAATATCTCATCCAGCTCAAAAACATTTAGATAGTGTTAAAGTAAGTTAATAACATTTTGTTTCCCTAATTATGCTCACAGACTTGCATGACGTGCTTTTTGCATTACCCCAGTAATCTAAATACCCATTTCTTAGCACTTTACGTGAAATGTGTAAAACTAAAACGTAATAAGAAAGTATAATTGAGTGCTTTCTGTCTAATATCAACTGATCTGATGACTCAGATCTTTGATGCAACTTCTTGTCTTCCATTAAATTAATTTTCAATTCAATCAAAAGTAGTTAAGATATTGATTTTGTACTCGTAAAAAATTAGCTGAATCCGAAATTCCTTATCATAAGCTTAATTTTTTAACCTACATATAATTATAATTCCTTACCAATGTAGTTTGAATTAATAAGTTTAAATTTGTCTAGTGGTAATTTGACATGTCACAGGTTCGAATCCCACTACATTGTTTTCAGTTCAAGCAGTCTGCTAGTATTACTATTTCTACCATACGAATAGAAGTCAAGCTTGTAAATCCATGTTTGATAAATAAGTTGCATTAAAATATTTGATTTAGACCTTGAGCAATAGGTCTCACAATATATCTCACTGATACAAATGTGTTCGCTTTTTTCTTTCTCTTATTTTCATAATTCTTGCTTACTGATTTTGTTCATTTTTCCTTCCTTTTTATACTTAGTTATCCTCTTAAATTAGTATTATCACCATCATTATCAATCTTTTGGTTTTTCCCTTAATAATTCCTTTTTCCTGTTTCGATCTAAAACGTGATAACTTAAATTAAAGCACCCTTAAACCAGGTCTAACTCTGTACATATCTGTCTGTAAACACCTCTATATTATTGTTTAAATTACATTAATCTCTAAAACAATCCCTTTTCTAATAAAACACTAGTCCTAAGTCAAGTTGTTCTCTCAGTTTGGAAATGTTTTCCTCCTTAATTATAGCACGAACGTAAAAATCCTTACGCTGGTATTTTTACGGATTTTGGTGACATTTCAAAGGCATTTAAAAACCAGATGTATGTAGAACAAATGACAGAAGTCACTGTCTCACCCGTACTTTCACCATTCGGTCAATCAGAAACTACCTCTTTATCGCCAGAACTAAAAAAGAATTTGGTACGTTATCTTGTTTTGTACATCTGTAAATGGTTTACTCACTATAATTTTAATATCTAATATATATTTGTACACAGGAAATCTAAACCATTGAAAGCAACCTTGGGACTAAATTCATTCTTTTAAGGTGTACCACTCTCCAGTGTCGCTTACATTTACTACATCATTAATTGAACTTAAAGTGGACTGTTTGATATTTTATGAAATTTTTATTCTGCGGCTTGCAAATTAAAAGTCTGAAAGAATTTACGGCGATAAAAGAAATCCCATATTTTCCGAGATATTACAGCACATACTTTAAGATAAATTCCATTTATATACTTACAGCCGCGCCCCATTGTAAGGAATCTTATTTCAGTTCCATCCATTCTTTTCACAATTCGGTAACTGACTTTAATCAGTTACAAATTCCCAACTTCTGTTTGTTAGCTTCGCCAACGCATTAAGCGTTTTTCCGTTCTTTAGAACTGTTCAGAACCTTAACCAGGCTGCGACTGGTTGATTTGCTTGTCTTAAGACTTTTTTATTCTGTTTTATTTGAACACATAGATATTGGTACAAGGAGGCATCAAATACATATGCGCCACACAAATCTCATTTGATTTGTGTGAGGGCTGTGATACTGCCCGGGTGCCCAAACCGAAACAGGTGGTTCTCTTAGGGGGCCACACCCAGAGAACTCGACCTAAAGGTCTGATCCACAAGGCAGTGAAGCAACGTAATGAGATGCAGTCCCATGGTTGCCGGTGACCAACGATTGGTTCATACGCCATTTGTTCCCTCAGGATACTGGAGCTTATGTGCTCCATTGATTTGGAATCAGGGTTTTCCAACTCCCGTAGGTGAACTCTCCATGTCCACTAACCCGGTTAAAGCGCCGGACATTCGTTTTTAGTCCTCTGAATTTCGTAAACAACACCCCCGTCACGAGAAGGCAGTAAGTAGGACTTCCTTATCAATGTATGTATACGCGTGGCCGTATGAGAGCATTTCGAGAGGGAGAGCTTACTCTCCTTACTCTCGGCTATACCACGGTATTTGGGGCTTTAAGACTGTTGCATCTCTTAGTCTTATATGTGCTATCGTTATGTTGATATTTATTAAAACAGTTTATTTAAATAAACTATAAATTGAAATTCACACACAATTGGCGTTTATTTTTATTTTACATCATTGAAAAGCCATATAATGAAGAATTTTTCTTGTGGTTTAGAAATAATCAAAAGTATACAGTTTAGTTATATGTGATATTTAAATCGTGGCTTATAGTGGAATTCAGGACACCCGTTCCTTCTTATTTAAGATACGTCAGCCAAATGTATGCATTTCAGTGTTCATATTCACACTGAGATTCGAACCCATTACTTGTTGCTTCAAACGTCAACTCACTATCCACTAAGCTACTAAGTCGAGTTGACAAGCCTTCAAACAACAAAAATCTTGTCCTGAATTCCACTGCTCTAGCAATAATCCATTGCTCCAGGAATCGAAGATAAACATCAAGATAATGAATAGTACTTGGCAACATTTGGAAAAGATAGACAAGAACAGATCAGGTTGGGGATTGCTGGTTGGCGGTCTATGCTGCACGAGGAGTAACAGGAGTACTTAAGCTACAATCCAAGTATGCTAAAAATTTGTAACTGAAAAGGCTATATCAGTACAATGCTCTCAAAATCACCAATACATCAATAAAAACTAATCAGGTGTCGTTCTTCAAATCAACAACGAGAAAGTGCATACTCTAACAAATACATAGCATGATTTGTGATCATTAGAGTTTCGATAAATTTTGTACTTTACTGCGATTACAAATTTATATATGATAGTTTGTTATTCGACCTAATAAAACGTTTTAACCAATATTGGTTTGCATTATTTAATTTTCATCCGGTTTTATTGATTTCCTCAACAATAATTTTGTGTTTGTATAATATTCATTTTTATTTCCTTTACTTAGCATAATGCTTTGATTGAAGAACGTAAACACTGGCATCAAATCCTACTAACTGCCTTTAATGAACAGTTGAAAAGGCTTAAAATAATTCATGCAAGTGAGTTTTTTTTTCTCAAAGGAAAATTCACTAGTTCTTGTACAATTTTATCTCTCAAGTTACCAATAAATAATTATAGCTGATATAATACAAGTGTGGCTGCTCAAACTATGATAGTGTTGAATTTAAAATGATAATTTCATGACTTTCAGAGGTTATTGATAAGCAGGTTTTACAAACTAGTTAGAAATATTTAAATCCAGTTTATTATAACATGTAATATGGTTTAAAAAGTCTCGATATGTCCAACCAGTCAAAATCTTATCCAAACTAATTTTGCTTTGTTTGCTTCAATTTTATATTTATTTGCGTTTACTACATAAATTGCAATATACACTAGTCTGGGCGTCTCTGACTCTTTCGTTATGTTTGTTTGAATGTGAAAAGTCATATGTACAAATCTGTAGTGCATATAGTTCTGTTATTCACCTGTGTGACCTAAACCTTACAAGTTTGAAGTGTTCTAGAGTTTTCTATGTCCCTTCATCTCTTAGTTGTATTGTTCTGAGCTGGCGGCAACACTATACATGCCATTTCAATGCCAAACTCCTTCTTGAATATGAATTCATTAGAAACTATTAGCTTTGGTAGCTAACACTCGCAATAACAGCAATTACCATATCAAACATCGTTCCCTACTTTTTTTTCATCCTATTGCCTGGTCTCAAAATATAATGGTTGTACTGGATTTATATTTCTTGGATGAATCTCATCGTTCTCCGAAAGGTCCTAGAAATAACGAAAATAAATATCTCCAGTAACATCAGAATTATTACCGCTGAGTTACTAGCTTCGTAGTTATTCCCTTTAATAATAGGTTATTTCCACCAAGTAGTCAGTAATTCACACTAACTTAAATTACTTTAATTTTATGTGATAGTTCGTCACATTGTCCTTTTCTTTCTTACCGAACATTTATCAAGAACTTTTATTAATTTCTTCTAGAAGGAAAACTGACAGCTTATCCATTCCTGAAGATCTTGCCTGCATCAAATTATATAGATCTGATGATTTCGGTAGTTACATTTTGCATGTTTCTTTATTTGAGTGGATCATTGTTTCCCAATTACTTTGTGTTTAGTAGTTATATAATAAATTCAATTGTTGTGACTCTGAATATTTGTTTTTCGCCTTGTATATGTTCTTGTAGCTTTGGCCAACTTAAATTTTTATGCATCGAAATTCTTATATCAGCTTGAACATTGTCACAAACATATTATACGAAAATCAACTTGTTCAAGAAATGATATAACACTAACTGATTGTAATTAAGTGTTCTGATATACTGGTTTACGATATGACGATTCTACAGCTTCCTGATTTGTGTGATTTCGAATAATATTTGTATTATTTCATGCTCCAACATTTTGTTGACCTAATGGTTTTCAAGTATTTCGTGATAATAATTAGTCATTATTATTACGTCTACCTAGTAGATATTCTCTCTTACATTTTCCTTCAGGGCATTGATATGTTAATTGTGGATTCAGCTTTACAGTATACCTCCTCATCAATTGCTTGTCTTCAACTTGGTCGGCGTGTAGAACGCGCTTGTACTGTATACCGCCAAGAAAAAATAGGATATTTTAAGCAGGTAAGACAATATTTACTCCTTGTAAATGTATTTTTTTATACTGAACGTTATGAAGTAATTAAATGTCGATTATTACCTCCTGGTGTAATCATTCGACGTCTACCATGTATTCATATCTGAAATCATCAAATGCACTCATTCTTTACCTCCCTCGAGCTTCAATATTATTTTATAATTTAGTCCTCATAATCATTTCTCTTTTCCAAACCATGTTATTCACGTGTAGACCTTTTCTCTATCATAGTCTTCACTATTACTTTACCTTAGATAAAATTGATGTAACAGACTCATGCGCAAATCTCTATTTAATTACACAGTTTTCGTTGTATCAGTTTAAAAAGTCTCAGCCTGAATCTCATTTTGTGTTCAGTTGTAACTTATAATTCAATCATTTAACTTTCTCTGCTGAATAAAATAAAAATGCTGTAACTTACTTCGTCAGGACAGTTTTATGTATTCTTATTACTCTCAGTTATATAACTTTTTCTTTACGCAGTTAATTTTTCAAGATTTGTTCAATCTGAAGAAATTTTTAAGTACTAATCGGGACCTTATTGAAGTCTACGGAAAATAAACTAGTAAATAAGTAGCCATTCGATCATATAACTTGACTGTCCCCGCATGTAATCACTTAAAAATGTGATTTAAACAAAACTTTTACACTGATTATTGTAACAAAATCTTTATCAATTTATAGCTGTCATTGTAGACTTGACAAGAAATTTTTAAAAGTGATTATTTGTTCTATTCTATAAAAAAAACACGAGAATGTTTCAAAATCTATTAAAAAAATACATTCGTTTCTTTCCTGTAGTTAGAAAAAATGTACATGACATATGCTACTTTGTTTAATGAACATGAAATGAAATTTTCTAATTTCCGTCATATGTGGCTATATGCTCTACAATCACGTATAGATCAAGGTCCGAATACGGTTAGTTCTATGTTGTTGTTTTTTTCATTTGAGTTTTATTTCTTTAAATTTACTCGCAAAACTATTTTGATAATTCGGTATTTGGTTATTAGTTGATTGTATTTATGGTTTCTTGATAAGTAATTAGTGTGAAACAGTGGTTTTTGAACTCTGTATTCCTCTCTTACCGTCGGTATTGAATTATTTTACGTATGATTCTTTGTCCACTCACTAAGAAGTAAATATTTGTAGCTTGTTTTTTGGATGTTGTTGTGCGCTAATTTCCTGTGAAACTTGCTTGTAAGTAGAAATACTGATTTCCTTTGGTGTATCATCTTCATCAAGGCTTGACTAGATGATTTCACTTGTCGATTGATGAACTCGATTAATCATTGAAATAAATTAAGAAGTAAACGAAAAACACGACAAGCTTTTATTTACCACAGTAAGCAAACATATTATGGAGTTTAGAAAATTTGTGGATCATATATGTTAGAATTATCAGTGTTGTGGCGTTTGACAAAATCTAAACCACTTTATTACGCAACTGTCTGTAAAATCGTATAGCCTTCATCTTAACATATATATCCATGCTTATCATCAAGATTAAACAGAAACATTTCTTACTTTATTTGAATTTACTTCATAAAAATATCGAAATTTATTGTTCCCTGTATTAGTTAGTTTCTACTGTTTAATTTTGTTTTAACTATCAGCAACATAATTGGACTTCGTGGCCTCCAACAATTCTTTTCATGATTGGTGAGGTATTATACAGTCTTATATATGAACATTTACGTTTCGACTTAAATGGCCCACTTAGAGTTCGTCATGAATTCTCAAAAAGTAATGAAAAGACAAGTAGTAATATTCGTCGTAAAGATACTCCAGCTATCTTTGAAGTTCTCGCAGAATTCCCAACTGAAGTAACTAATGAAATTAAGGTTAGTATTTGATTTTCACTATATATTTCACTGTTATGTAATCTGAAGTATCCAGTGTGTTATTATTAACTGAAATAAAATAAATTTGTTTACAATACTCCCTTTGTTTTGAATCCCTTCACTGTCGTTTGCGTACGGTTGCAAACATTATCAATCTTACTAATTAATTAAAGACAATTAAACTAGAAATATTTTCTTCCTATAGATATCACCCACTTAATCTGTACAATGGTATTTAAAATTAATTTTTACAAACAGTAATCACGTAAAATGGAAGAAAACATTATACTTAGATCAACAATAGACAGTTTCTGTCTAAACAAAAATATTTAAATGACACTTTTACCCTTCTGTTTTATTATAAACCACTGTTTGTAAGAACTTAACTACAAATGAGATTGCATTGCTGAATTGTCTTAATCTTTTCTTCAATGAAATTAGTACTAAAAACAAAATTTGATAAAAATTTCAGTCTGATACAAGTTAATCACTTTCATCATTATTATTTTCTTTTTTTAGGTTCATCCAACGCTAATTAACTGGTATCGTGATGCAGATTATCCACCCTTAAGTTTCCATCCATGTGCTCTACCTATGCTTTGTCCACCAGTTCCATGGATCAATCTTGATGATGCTGGTTATTTGATTTCAAGAAGTAATTGAAAACATCCGCATCTTTTGCAATTAACTTTCCCACGATTGTTATAAAATCTTTTATAAGCTAAATCATTTAATTAAATTGATGAAGATGTTCGACTATCTACTGTGCACATATTGATTGCGTGTAGATTAATTGGACAAAAAGCAAGTGATGTGATATCGACTATCTTATCCATTGCCACGAAATGTTTACTTTTCAATTTTTTTTACAAATATAATAATTTTGTATGTATTTTTGATTCACAGCCTAGTTGATTGAGGTCGAAAATGTAGACCATTGGTTTACAATTGAGTTCTCTAATAATTAATCGCTATCCACGAGAACTAAAAATTCTCAGTGAGATCGTTGCTATGTACTTGTGAAGAGTTTCACATGCGAACGAAATCGCTGTTCAGTGTTTCTTGGTTTAAAATAATGACAATAATACCTTTATTTAACATCAGTTCTCCAATATCGCAATAAATTTATGCTTAACATGCCCCAAAATTAAAATTATTCAAAATTTTCCTTTATAAATTAATTAGTAGACAATGTCTGCCACCCAGTCTCTGAAGTTTTCTATCAGTTTAGCTGCTACAACTATTTTTTCCATCCATCATTTATAAGATGAATGAATGACAATGTACATGTCTCATTTTTTCAAGGAATAGGGAGTCTCAATAAATCCAATGTTTCCGTTTTAATTTGATAGTATCTACTATCACAATAATTTACGAGCCCTTTATTGTAAATCGTGAATGCGTACAATTAACATGAATAATTATTTAGTTCAAACAAATCTGAAACAGAAACGTTCACTCCAATATTTGCATTTGGAAAATAGACAATCTAAACATTTAATTTAGGTTGCCTTAACAATGGTGTCCAAACTAATATCAATCGGTAATAAGCACCACTTAGAAATTTACACATAGTTGGTCCGACAACTTGTTTGTTACAAATTTATTGTATAATTGTGACATCGTACATGTACTACTTTAAATCTAATCCTAAAATATTACTTCTTATTCTCAGATTATGCAACACGTCTGATTAGATGTACCAGTGTTTCATCAACAAATCCAACTTATCTTGATGACTTGGACTTTGATTGCAATCAAATTCCATCAATATTAGATGCTCTCAACTGTTTAGCTTCCTGTCCATGGAAAATTAATAACACCGTATGTTGAACCAAGTGCTTTTTACGTGTAATGTAAACTATATATATATATATATATATATATATATATATATATATATATATATATATATATATATCATGGGTTTTATGGGCTTCTTTTCTTCTAGGCGAACATTTTGTTACATCTATTGTTGTGCTAAATTACTGATATAGCGAAACCGGTATTCTGACTAAAAGACTTAAAAATCAGTTCTGATTTGTTTACTATTAAGAACAGAAAAGCAAATTTGTTATTTATTTACAAGCGTTTGTCGGGGTGCAAACATCAGACACTTTACGCTATTCTTTCACTCAGTAACATTCTTTGTCAAGATTTTCAGGCATAAAAGAAAAGTGCTGGAATTAAGTAGTTCACTAAAACAAATACATGTTTCAATTTTTGTTTTCTCCTAAACGTTACTTACTTACTTCTGTTACTCCTCGTGAAGGAGCATAAGCGGCTCACCAACATTCTCCATCCAACCCTATCCTGGGTAATCTTTTCCAGTTGTTATTCATCCTTTTCATATCTGCTTCTATTATCCAACGCAATGTGTTCTTTGGCCTTCCCTTCAGGATTCCAAGTTAGCACCTGTCTCGTGATGCAGTTTGACGATTTACGTAATGGATGTCCTATCCATTTCCATCGTCTTTTCCTAATTTCTTCTTCAGATGGAAGCTGATTTGTTCTCTCCCACAAAAGGCTGTTGTTGATGGTATCCGGCCAATGGATGTTGAATATCTTGCGTAGACAGCTATATATAAATACTTGTACCTTCTTGATGATGGTTGTTGTAGTTCTCCATGTTTCAGCTCTGTACAGTAGAACGTTGATATTGAAGATTGGTATTGTAAATTCTGACTTTGATATTGGTTTATAGTTGTTTTGAGTTCCATATGTTCGTCAACTGTAGGAATGCGGCCCTTGCTTTGCCAATCCTCACCTTTACGTCTGCATCTGAACCTCCTTGTTCATCGATGATGCTTCCGAGGTATGTGAAGGATTCTACATCTTCGAGAGTTTCGCCATCAAGAGTGATTGGATTGCTGTTCTCCGTTTTGAATTTGAGAACTTTGGTTTTGCCCTTGTGTATGTTGAGACCTACTGATGCAGAAATCGCTGCTACACTGGCTGTCTTTATCTGCATTTGTTCGTGTGTATGCGATAGGAGGGCTAGGTCATCTGCGAAGTCCAAATCGTCTAATTGGTTCTGTGATGTCCGTTGTATGGCGTATTTTCCTTCAGATGTCGAGGTCTTCATAATCCAGTCGACCAGCAGAAGAAAGAGGAAGGGAGAGAGTAGACAGCCTTGTCTGACTCCGGTCCTTACTTGGAATACAGCTGTCCTCCATGCACGACTTTGCACTGTAGTTCGTCGTATATTTTCCGGATAATGTTGACAATCTTCTCAGGAATGCCGTAGTGTCGAAGAAGTTTCCATAATGTCCTCCTATCTATACTGTCGAATGCCTTTTCATAATCAATGAAGTTGATGTACAGTGACGAGTTCTACTCAACTGATTGTTCGACGATGATTGGTAGTGTCGCAATTTGGTTTGCGCACGACCGATTCTAACGGAATCCAGCTTGTTGACCTCGAAGTTGGGCATCTACTGCGTCTTTCATCCAGTTCAGCGACACTTTTAAAGACTTTCCCTGGTAGTGACAGTAGTGTGATGCCTCTGTAGTTTTCACATTTGCTCAGATCTCCTTTTTTGGAATCTTGATGAGGTGTCCTTCTTTCCAGTCTATCGGCACTTGTTGTTGTTGTGCTTCTATGTACTCAGCTTGTGCTTGAACGTTCTCTCCTCGTGTTCGGCTTTTAATAATTGCTGTCTTACTAATTAATTGTCAAGTTATACGTAAAGCGTCAGATAAAAGTGCTAATGTAGATGATAATTTTGTCAATTTCCATCAAATAGTCATTAAAATATGTTTTTAAGTTTGCCTTACTATCGAATAACCAACGAAATACAGTCACATCCTAAAAGATTTCAATAAATCATATAATTAGCGTGCCGAGATGAATAGCTATGAAACAGATTTAATATGTTTGCTGCCTTAATGAGAAAGCATAACCATTGAAAATGTAACTCCAGAAACCAGAGGAATGGCAAGGAACTCTAGAGTGTGTCGTGGGCCACTTACTTACCTTCGTAGAGGAGCATGGGCCGACCACCAACATTCTTCATCGAACTCTGTCCTGGGCAGTCTTTTCCTGATTTGCTCCTCAGCTGGAACCTGGTTTGTTCTCCCACAGTAGACTGTTGCTGATGGTATCCGGCCAACGGACATTCAGTATTTTGTGTGGAAAATTGTTTATAAATACTTTTAGCTTCGACTTCATACAGTAGAACTGTCTTGACGTTCGTATTAAAGATGCTCGCTTTGATGTAGGTTGACAATTGTTTTGAGTTCTACATATTTTTAACTGTAGGAATGCTGCCCTTACTTTACCAATCCTCGCCTTTACGTCTGCATCGGATCATCCATGTCCATCGACGATACTTCTTAGGTGCGTGAAAGACTCCACCTCTTCTAGAGCTTCTCCATCAAATATAACTGGGTTGATGTTCGTGTTGTATTTGAAGGTCTCGCTTTTTCCCTCGTGTGTGTTAAGTGAATAATTTTTAATTCCGACTTCAATAACAGTGAACGAAACCGCTTTTTATTCTCTTTATTCCTGCCCACTAACTAAGGACAGGAATCCAAGCTCACTTGGAAGCTCTATCCGTAGAGGCTCCACGAAATTAATAATCATTTGAATACATCCATTTAAACTCAGATCTTATCCCTGTGCTTTCCAGAAACAGAAATTATCATACTAAGCGAACTTCAGGCAAAAATTAATGTCATGCTTAATCAACAAAAAATCACATTGGATGTTTTACTGTGTGAAAATCACATTAAAAGTCAATGCACAATCTTACTGTTATTTTCTCAATTTAACATCCCCTAGCTAAAAATTCCCTTCCTTAATAGCAGCGTAAAACGTAAGAGTATGTAGTTGATCCTTTAGTCTTGTACACACAGCGGTCTCTAGCATAACCGAAATTCTTCGAAATTTCCAGTTTCTTTTCATATTATACAAATCATCATCAAATTAGTCAGTCACAGTTCTTCATGATCAAATTTTGTTCCGTAAAGTGTGTGCGTCACTCTCCTGTAAACCATGTTCTCGATTTTCATCATCTAGTCTATTGTTACGTAGTTTGGAAAAAAAGTCGCTGTACTTCAGCAATAAAAAATAAGATTTCCAAAATACACTAGATTCATTTTGTGTTAAAGCGTCTCATCAGTTGTAAATAAACTGCTTAAAATTCCAACAACTATTAAACCAATCCAACTACATTATTTCAATCATAAAAAATAGATTATTATTTTATTTATTTATTTTAACACATAGATATTGGTACAAGGAGGCACCAAATACATATGCGCCACACAAATCTCATTTGATTTGTGTGAGGGCTGTGATACTGCCCGGGTGCCCAAACCGAAACAGGTGGTTCTCTTAGGGGGGCCACACCCAGAGAACTCGACCTAAAGGTCTGATCCACAAGGCAGTGAAGCAACGTAATGAGATGCAGTCCCATGGTTGTCGGTGACCAACGATTGGTTCATACGCCATTTGTTCCCTCAGGATACTGGAGCTTATGTGCTCCATTGATTTGGAATCAGGGTTTTCCAACTCCCGTAGGTGAACTCTCCATGTCCACTAACCCGGTTAAAGCGCCGGACATTCGTTTTTAGTCCTCTGAATTTCGTAAACAACACCCCCGTCACGAGAAGGCAGTAAGTAGGACTTCCTTATCAATGTATGTATACCCGTGGCCGTATGAGAGCATTTCGAGAGGGAGAGCTTACTCTCCCCACTCTCGGCCGTATCAGGGCATTTGAGGATGTAGTATAACTGGAGAGTTCGAAAAATCAAGACCACTGCTAGTTGATGTATGATTTGTTCAGTTGTTTTTGAAGCACAAGTCACTCATATTAAGTAATATGTGATTTAAGATTGATTGTACACTTCACATTTTAGTCACTAAATCTAGTATTTTATCAAATTATCGTTAGATTTTAGACTATCTTATTCAAGTGGCACGTTCTGGTGGCAACGAAACTCTCAATATTCCCGAATGGAGAAGTAAACCTAAACGTGTGGATTTGAGAAAGTTAGTTTTCAAGACAGATTAATTATTTATACATGTTCATTATTAGTGTAAAACTTAAATCTGTGTTTTTCATTCGCTCTTAAAAAGTATGTGTGTGCACATTTTTTGTATATCACAAATGAATCTTCTAACATATACCTCTTCATAGAATTATCTTTCTAGGACTTATTCTTTACTGAATTTATCAAACGTTAAGACATTTAATTGGGATTTTATACATAATTACCCACATATTATTGCTGTCATTAAAATTTAGACTAATGTTGATCTTGAGGTAGCTAACTAGTTGCATTTGTTGCAGTGATCAATTTCATAAACGGTAGCACTTATGAATTGTTATAATGAGCTGATTGTAAATCCAATTACTGCACAATGTTTTGATTATTTATAGTAAGAATAAACATACTTAAACAAGTTACATTTGTGCTTTAAAGTTTTTTGTTTTAATGTCGTTAGTTCACCCAACATAACTGTATCTTCTCTTCTCAACTACCTTGTGAATAGTCTACAATTTTCTTCCTGAACACTACTAGGCTATAGTATGAAGCAGTTTTTCTGTGCAATTTCATCAGACAGAAACTAGTGTCAAAACTCTATCAAAGTGTTGAGTCTAACTAGCAAAATTCCGTATTTTTGATAGTCTCTTCTCTTATTTTTCCAGTAATCAATTTACTGTTGAGTATGAAGATGATTTCTAGTGCCTCCCGATTCATCTGGGTAGTAAATCTTTGATATTATGCTTCGTATATAAGTAGCTAGGGTGTGTTGTTAGTAAACTTTCGAAAAGAATGTTATCTAACTTGTAAAGAATATATTTGATTAGAGTTATTTGTCCATTATACTTTCCACTGAGGCATCTCTCGTAATTTATGTGTATACTATCCATTTCAAGGTAATTGCAAAATTCCATCATCACTTTCTACAGAGCACTTATTGCACAGATATATATGAACATTGAATAAACATGATAGTGTGATGGGAAGGTTATAATACTGGATTATGTAGTGTAAATAATAGCAAATGTGCAAATGAAAAACCTTGTAAAATCAATGAGTTAATGATGAATTATATTATGATGAATGGAGTGGCATAATTAAGATGTTTTCTGTCAAAATAATTAAAGCTGATACAGAGGGATTAAATTAAATGACTAAAATCATGCGGATATGGGAAATAAGTTAAGGCCATATTGAGCATATATACACACTTCCACCTTCATTTCATGGATGGAAAGTGCTTTTGTTTTAAGGATTACAAACCAATGGAGCACATAAGCTCCAGTATCCTGAGGGAACAAATGGCGTATGAACCAATCGTTGGTCACCGACAACCATGGGACTGCATCTCATTACGTTGCTTCACTGCCTTGTGGATCAGACCTTTAGGTCGAGTTCTCTGGGTGTGGCCCCCTAAGAGAACCACCTGTTTCGGTTTGGGCACCCGGGCAGTATCACAGCCCTCACACAAATCAAATGAGATTTGTGTGGCGCATATGTATTTGGTGCCTCCTTGTACCAATATCTATGTGTTAAAATAAATAAATAAATAAGGAGTTATATACGAAGAAATCTGTGTAGATTTGGACGAATTGTATCTGCAACCTTAAAACGAACTCGCGGACCGGTGAAGTGATTACAATAGATTCAATCCCAAAGAATAGAACTCCTAACCGCTTTCCTCACGCCTGTAGAACCACACTGGGACATGTTCTTGTATCTGAGTTTAAAGCAAGATCTGGCTACGGCTTATGTACCTTGGTGCACTAGAGCAATTGATAAATACACATCCTTTTCTATATTATCTGTATTTTACATAATTATCTTGTGTTCTTTGAATATATATGTGTATATTGTAGTGATATGACCGCCAAAGAACGTCGGCTCGCCTACAGAAAATACCATGAGGATAGACAAGATTATGGTGAATTTTGTTCATTGTGGAGCACTGAACTGTACAGACTGTCTATAGCTAATCAAGTATGCTCCTTCACTATAAAATCGTTTTTGTTAATTCTTCAAATTATGTCTTCAATTTCTGTTTTGATTTACGTTCCCAGTGAAATCTCATATCCAAATGTTCTGTCAAATAAATTGTCCATCAATAGATCTTGTTTTATTCTCAAACTGTACTGAGTCATTTCGTACACCATCAATATGGTATTACAATTATAATTGTAGAATCTATACGATGGTTCTAATATAACGACTAAGTCAAATGTAGAAATTCTAAATTGAGAAGGGAATTTAATAGAAACATTTGATATTATTTCTAAGGTCGATCCTACAATCTATTTCAATTCAGTGTGTCTATACGTATATGAGCTGCTGCTACTCTCTTAGTTGTATCTACTCACGACGTAAATTTAACGCATTTGTTTTTGACACATGTTAATAATTATTTCTTTCTATTTATAAATCTTTCCTTTTGATAGTATCGTGACAAAATTATTTGGTTTCCACATAGTATGGATTTCCGTGGTCGTGTATATCCTTGTCCTCCCCATTTCAATCATACCGGTATGTAATCTGATATCCTGTGTGCATTTCTCAGGTTAATTAAGCTTTTCCGTATTTTTGTTACAAGCGTATGATAAGTTTCCTCACAATATATGAGCTTAGAGAAAGATAAATGGTTTTCAAAAGTATAATTATATCAGTATGTAGTTTTCTGGAGGTTATTGATTAAAAACGCGAAGTCCAGTGAAGGGATCTCTTCAACGAATTTATTATAAGGCTGTACAATCGTATATGTTATAAGTACTGGTTCCATGAGGGCATATGAACAAGGAATAGACATGATGATGCAATCAAAAGGTTATAATACCAGACTACGTAATATGGATAATAACAATGAAGTTGATAATCTAGCAACCAGTTAAAATGTGAATGCAGTAAGATGATTAAAATGCGTTTATTGTAATAATAAAAGATGAAGGCCAAGGTAACCATAACGATAGGACTTACTTTTTTGTACACACAATTCTGGCTTGAGCTCATAGACGGTAAGAGCTTCTGTTGTTTTAAGGAGTTGAATACGAAGAAATATAGGTTGATTTGTACGAATTGTATACATAACGTTAAAATCAACCAGTGGATCGGTAGAATGGTTAGAGTCCATTAGATGTTCAAGAATGGAACTTCTAACTTTCCTCTTACCCTTGTAAAATCACACTGGGACATGCCCTCGTATCCGAGATGAAAGCGAGCTCTGGCTACGGCCTATATACCTTGCTTGATTGCCACCGCTATCATGAGCCAACCTCAGTTAGACATTCACTAAAAACCAGTAGCCACTAGACGACTTCACAAAGCTCTATGCTGATAATTATCATGTCTTCACTAGTGGCTAATTTCAAGAGACAGTTCTACATAACTGAAAGTCTATGGTCCATTAGGTGATTCTGATGAGTAGTCATGTATCAGATTCACTAAAATAACCGTTGTGTTCACTTGAATAACGTACTCGAGGTCTGTTTGAGTCAGAAGATTGTCTTGTTTACTCGGATATATATACGGTTCTACAATAAATCATTACTAGTTAAATTTAATCTCAAATTCATGATGATAAGACAACAACAGCAATCAACCGTTAACCCAGCGTAAAAAATGGGTTAAAAATTGCTGTCCACGCAACATAAGTTCCGACCAATAAGAACATAGCTGGTTTGTCGATAATCAGTTTAACCAATAAGATATAAGAAAAGGGGATAAACCCTGATTACTAATAAGTAATATGGTCCTAAAACGAGAATTTCTCACCATGACCAGTGAGCTGCAAACGAGTTGGATGTGAGGCAATTAACCAAAGAAAACAATGGAAGATAGTAGCTCAATATCATGAAGTGGTAGACACCATTTGGTTCCGGCTTAGTGATCTAGAGGTTAAGAGCTTATGCACGAGATATGAATTCCTGAGTCCGGTCCTCCATGGGATCGTAAGAACTCACTGCTAAACTGTTTCATACTAGGACGGAGTAACTGTCCAGTGCTCCCCGGTTTTGAATGGATGTCTAACTTCGGTCGATTTATGACATCGATAGTATAATCATATTATTGAGATCTGATTAAATGATAAATGTTCAATCATAACACTTCGACAATCCAATAACAGACACTTATAAATAAATCAAAATGTATTGATAGACAGATTTTTAAAAAGTGAATATGGTCTAATAAAGCACTCATATTTGCCAAGAAGAATAGCGAATGCATTTGTCCCCTTTTCATCGCTTTATAGTCTTATGACACTAATTTTCACCAAAAAAATTCACGTGTTGTAGATCAGTATTAAGCATTGACGTCCCCCACCTGCACCTTGTATGTTTCTGTCCCACTGTTTCTCTCATATGGATCTTGTGTAACCCCTCTGCCAAAGATATATGTGATACTATCCGGCTTCTCAAGCCATAGTCAATCAGTCGTTAGCAACTCAAAATATGTTACATGTGCATCGGTTCGATTCGCTACATCATATCCGCACAAAGATATGAAATGATTTTAAGACAATTATAAAATAAATAGATACAGTGACATAATAGGTGGGATTTGAAAAAACTAGGTATAAACAGTATAATTCGAACATAAAACGTATGAAGTGGTAGACACCATTTGGTTCCGGCTTAGTGATCTAGAGGTTAAGAGCTTATGCACGAGATATGAATTCCTGAGTCCGGTCCTCCATGGGATCGTAAGAACTCACTGCTAAACTGTTTCATACTAGGACGGAGTAACTGTCCAGTGCTCCCCGGTTTTGAATGGATGTCTAACTTCGGTCGATTTATGACATCGATAGTATAATCATATTATTGAGATCTGATTAAATGATAAATGTTCAATCATAACACTTCGACAATCCAATAACAGACACTTATAAATAAATCAAAATGTATTGATAGACAGATTTTTAAAAAGTGAATATGGTCTAATAAAGCACTCATATTTGCCAAGAAGAATAGCGAATGCATTTGTCCCCTTTTCATCGCTTTATAGTCTTATGACACTAATTTTCACCAAAAAAATTCACGTGTTGTAGATCAGTATTAAGCATTGACGTCCCCCACCTGCACCTTGTATGTTTCTGTCCCACTGTTTCTCTCATATGGATCTTGTGTAACCCCTCTGCCAAAGATATATGTGATACTATCCGGCTTCTCAAGCCATAGTCAATCAGTCGTTAGCAACTCAAAATATGTTACATGTGCATCGGTTCGATTCGCTACATCATATCCGCACAAAGATATGAAATGATTTTAAGACAATTATAAAATAAATAGATACAGTGACATAATAGGTGGGATTTGAAAAAACTAGGTATAAACAGTATAATTCGAACATAAAACGTATGAAATTATTGTAAAACTTAGTCAAAGAGAAGATAAAAAGTAAATGCTTCTGCACCACTGTGGTCGGCCCTAAGACATGCCACCGAACATTTTCAACCACTGATCACTCAGACCCTAACCAGACAGTCTACATCTACCAACACACTGATTCCATGGACTAACACCATATCTCGCTTTGGCCTCCACTATCTCCTAACTTACTCCTAAAGCATACAAGTTAGGTGGTGCTTGGACATGTGTGAATACATGTCCCAACCACCACAGTCGATGGAAATTTACAACCCCAATAACCGATTAATCGAATTTACCTAGCACCATGTGTCTTGCACCTGCATTGTTCATTTAGTGGTCCCAACATAAATGACCAACACTCTAAGGGCATCTATAGTCAAATAATTGCAATCTGTAGATATCTCCTATTTTTAAAGTCCACGTTCCACAGCCATAAACGAATATAAAACCTAAAGCATGCCAGATAGGATAGGGTCTAGATCATCAACCTATAGGTTTAAAGTCAACTCTTCTAACCACCAAAGCACTCCTCCATTTTCATTATGGGGACTAGGCATCAAACTATGGGGTTCCTGAAACTTTGTAATATTGCTAGTTGCTCACAAAGCATCACATTGCTTTAATTATTCAATACTTTAAAAATAAACACTTTTATCTCCTCAGTTCTTTCCTATGTGAAATGAACTTTGTACACTTCAGATCGCTTTTTTAATTTGCTTAACTACAAATTGTTGTATCTAAATTTAAAAGCGATAATTAATCAAACTCTAAGTATAGGTATTCATTTAATTTTTTAATTCGATAAGCGTAATGTTTTGCTTACTTACCGAATAAAAGAAACAAGTGGTTTTTGTATTACAATACTATGCATATATAGCAAATGATAGTCACTTTTTTACTTCTAGTGATTACATCTGATTGTAAACTAACTTTATTTGGTATGAATCTTTAAAATATTATATAGGCAAGTATAACGTGAAATATTTTTCAACTCTTATCCATTTAGGTAGTGATGTGGCTAGAAGTCTTATTGTATTTGCAAAGGGATTACCTCTTGGTCCTAATGGCCTAGATTGGCTTAAAATACACTTAGTCAATTTAACAGGTTTAAAGAAGAGGTAAGAGATACATTGTTTTAAATAAACAATGTACTAATATATCATGAAAATTTCAAATTTATTTGTTTCTTTTCTAGAATAATAAACCAATAAGTTAATCTTGTACAAATTTTATCAAAATATTCGAAATAGTTTAAATTGTCTCGTCCATTGTTCACAACATCTTATAATTAATTGTACAAATATCAACTGTTTAATGTTTGCGTAACCAATGTACGTATTTCAGTCCAAGTCGTTTAGTAGCTCTCAGTCGGCTACAACGTAGGACCAGGCACTTATGTGCATCCGTCCAAGTTGCCATATCTTAATAACACAAGATGAACACCTAATTCATAGAAGTATTTACTTCAATAGTAGTAATATATAAAAGAAAGATTGCATATAAGAATATAATACAGGAATAAGGAATTAGTCGGTAGAAAGAAAGATATAAATCAATTTTAATCTCATGGTTTGAGGGACGACAGAGTGTATACACCGACGCCATTGCGATCGATTTTGAGCCACGCCACCCAATCTCTAACCACTGGTTACGATAGTCGTGCGGACCCCAACCAAGTAATCTACATCTACCAACATGGCTAAGACTAGGAGTTAGCGATTCTAAGAATTGATGCCACGTTTTGGTTTGGCCACCCCTAACTTTCTTCCAACACTAGTTAGCATTGCGCATCGTGGTAATCAGTGTTTAAACATGCGTAACACGTGACCCAACCATCTCGGTCGATGAAGATTCCCAACCTTATCAACTGATTTTCTATCATTCCCTAATATCCTGCGTTTAACCTCACTGTTACTCACCCGGTGATCTCAGCAGATGCTGGCAATATTTCTAAGGCATCTGTGATCAAATACTAATAACTTACGAGTATCCTCTACCCTTAATGGCCACGTTCCCCAGTCGTAAAGTAGGACAGAACGAACTGCTGTGCAGTATACTCGTCCCTAAATTGGTAGACGGATATCTCTTTTTCTCCATAAGTAACGTGAATTGGCAAAACGAGCTTTCTGAATCCGTGCAGAGATTTTGTCAGACATCAACCCATTAGTGTTGATCAAACTTCCAAGTTACGCGTTCAACTACTTCACTGCCTATCCTTAGTTCAGGTGTTGGCATAGGCCAAACAGGACTATATCGTTTGATATCTCTATAAACTGTTAAATGAAAACGCATTTATACTTAGCTTCTAAACTACATAATCAATTAATGTTGAGTTTCACATTTCATAGAATAAAACCCAGACGGTTACTGTATAAATAGATTATAGAATTGCTTAACTATTATACAGATATAACAAACCACAAGATAATAATGATAATATTGAAACCATTATGCAACATCGTAGACAAAAAAACAAGCAATACAGCTTTAACAATGGTACAATAATTTTTCAATTCCTACTTCTTAAAATTAAAGCTATGTTTTTTCTTACTATCATTTAGATTGTTTGAAGCTAAAAAAATTTTATAGTTTTATTGTTAACTAACTACAAAGTATATTCATTGCTACTTTACAATATATAAATGTTTAATAATCATTTGTTTTTACTTTTTCTCTTAATTTATTAGTAGGATTCCCTAAATAAAAAGATATTCCTAGTTATAATATGTATAGTCAATTAGTTTTAGTGTTAGCTATTGTACATTTTCTGTCTTTGCTTTCTAACGAACAAGTATCTGATTATCACATGTATTTGTGCTAATTTCTTTGTCTATAGTTATATAACTTTTTAATAGAAAAAGCAAAAAACAAATTAACTTCATTAGTAATGCTACTCAATTTTCCTTGTTAGATGCACCCACTCAGAACGTTTAGAATATGCCGATTCTATAATGAATGACATTATTGATTCTGCTGAGAAACCATTTGATGTAAGTTTGCTTATCATCAATATATATACTTCTTTATTGAAGATTTTTTCATTGGTAAAGGAAAATGGTTGTGCTCATTAATAATTTTTGATTTTTAAAAAATACTCTTGAACTATTTCGATTTGATTATTATTATTTATTTATTTATTTGAACACATAAATATTGGTACAAGAGAGCGCCACACAAAACAATGAGAATTCGAAGACAAAAAAGAGGTAAGGAGCGTGAAAAAAAGAGAACAATAACGAAGAGATTGGTGTAAGGTAGTGTGGTAGTAATGAGGGAACGGAAAGGTACAATCGGAAAAAATTTTCAGGTAAGGGAGACACAACCACTTTTTATGAAGAAAGTAAAAGAAAGTTACAGCAGGATCGCCACTGGCTTCTATTCTGAGCCATATCTGATAACGTCTCTAGACACTGTGTCGCACCATCTCTCAGACCCCAGCCAGGGAGTCGTGAAGAACCAACACAAGCCAGCCCTTTGCAGCTTTCATACCCCGACACTATGTCGTATACTGACCACCTCTCCGCTACTTCCGACCAGTCCCAGAGTCGGGAAATAATGCACGACGTGGAATTCTCTGGGACGACATTCGGAGAACATGTCCAAGCCACCGAAGTCGGTGTTTCAAGATGGTGACACCAATTGAATTATCATCTCTGTGCCCGAACACACGATGCCGAACCTCTGCATTACTGACATGGTGTTGCCACTGGATGTCAGCAATCCTTCGGAGACAACAATGATCGAACACAGAGAGTCGTCTAACGTCCTCAACTCGGAGAGACCAGGTTTCACAAGTATAGAGCAAAACTGCTCTCACCGACGCGTTGCAGATCCGACCCTTTACAGCCAGACTAACATCACGAAGGCGCCAAAGATGGCCCAGATTGGCATAAGCCACTCTGGCTTTCACTATACGTGCATTGATCTCATCACTCACACCCCCACCAGCACTTATGCAGCTACCCAGATACACGAACTTCTCGACTACTTCTATCTGCTCACGATCCAGGGTAAGTACAGGACTAGATTCCTGCCAGTCTTATAGAAGTACTTTGCACTTCGAAGGTGCAAAGCACATACCGTACATACGGACATTGATTGCCAACTGATTAAGTGCGGATTGCATGCCTTGAGCATTATCGCACAGTAAGACAATATCATCCGCATACTCAAGGTCGAGAAGTCTTTCTCCAGACAACAGATCCACACCGCCATTACTTACATCCATCAGAGCTGTTTCCAGAATGTCATCGATGGCAAAGTTGAAGAGGAATGGTGAGATTGGGCAACCCTGCCTAACCGCAATGCTTGAATGGAACAGTGGAGAGAGGTAGTTGTATGTCTTCACTCTACCTGAGGTGTTTGAATATAGGGCATTTAAGATGTCAATAAACTTCTCATGCACACCCTTCTTCAATAGACAATCCCAGTGAACAGTCCTGTCCAACGAATCGAAGGCAGCCCTGATGTCAAGAAACACTACAACTGTTGGCCTTTATTAAGTATGACAGTGTTCTAACAGTTGGTGGAGGGTGAAGATATGATCAATATATCCTCGACCAGAACGAAAACCAGCCTGCTCCTCGCGAGTCAATCTTTCTCGGGTTTTGAACAACCTACGAAGTATGACGGAAACCAATAGCTTGGACGCAATCGGAAGTAGACTTATCCCCCGATAGTTGTTACAGGAACGACGTGAACCATTTTTAAAGATAGGGACAACTATCGACTCATTCCATGACGTTGGTACACTCTCTAGCTCCCAAACCTTTGTAAACAACGTCGTCAGTTCCTTAGTCAGAAAGTCACCACCATCTTTAAAAAGGGCCGGAGGTAAGTCATCTGGGCCAGGTGATTTGTAGCGCTTCAAGAGTTGCAGTTCCTTGCGGACTTCCGCCTCATTTGGTGGATCAGTCGTCACCGGCCATGAAGGGTAGGACAGTCTGACCGGTGTTGCCGGAGCAGCAGGCCAGTTGAACTGCCCTTCGAAAAATTCTTCCCATCATCCAAGACGTAGATGGATGTTAGTGATTGGCATCCCATCATCCTCGCAGATTGTTCCGCTCACACCAGACGTCTTGCTGCCAGTGGCTCGGATGAATTGGGAGAGCTTCCGGTAGTTACCAGATGCAGCTGCTGCTCCGACCAACCAGGTTTCTCGGTCCTTACGCAAGCTTTTCTCAATTTAATTAGGTAACAGTCGTCGTTTGTGTTCAAACTCACGGTTACCCGGAGTAGACCGATGGGCTTCAATGAGTTGTAAAGAACCAGAAGAAACCCAGTGCTTATAAGTGGGGAGTTTCGCGAGAGGCTTTACTCGCCATTTTGATGGCGTCGTGAAGTTGCAACCAATGATCGTCCATACTTTCCGGTGGAATGGTAGCTAGCCAAGAAGCTAGCCCGGTCCGATACTTACTAGCAACAGAAGCTGCAACCAGTTTGCTGACATCAATCCTTGGTGGAGGTCACTTCGTTGGCCACTGAAAAGTAAGATAAGATTGGCGCAGACCAAGGCATGATCAGAGTCCAGATAGGTACTCCAAAAGGAGCGGTAGTCTTGTACACAACCATACCAGCGGTAGCTGATCGCGATGTGATCAATCTGAGTCCAGGCTTGAGATGCAGTGGAGGGACGCCAGGTGGCACATCAGCGATGACTGTGCCGAAAGTTAATGCTAGCCAGAAACAGGTTGTGGTCTGTGCACAGTTGCAGTAGACGGTCCCCGTTATCTGTCCTGCGACCAACAAGTCCCCATCGGCCACATAAACGATTCTCTTCTGTGCCAATTATGATGAAATGTCTGCACCTAGACGCCCGAGCTGAGCATTCAAGTCTCCGGCTAGTACTAAAATACCTGTCGAACGCACTTTCTGGAGAAGAACAGTTAACTGGTAGTAGAATTCATCCTTGATTGCATCCGGGCTGCAATCTGTCTGGGCATAAGCGGAGATGAAAAGACATCGTTTCTCACACCGATTTTTTCTCACTTTGATGGAACTTTTTAATCTAACAGCACATAACCGACTGTTGATGAGGATCCAATCGATTAGTGCTGCCTCAGCTCTAGCGCTTAGTGCGACACCAACGCCAGCTAGACCAGACGAAGTTGCCACATGGTCCCCGGATAAACGCACGTAAAACAAGCTTTTCGAAGCGACAGATGGAGAGCGAATTTGTAGTACTTCACTAGAGTCTTGAATACGAGTCTCGGATAGACAGCAGACATCGATATAAAGACTTTCCAAAGACATAGCTAGCCCTATCTGTTGTCCAACCTGCAAAGTATGCGAACGTTGAAGGCAGCCAGTTCGAATGGTGCACGTGGTTTCAGAAAACTGCTTCAGTACTCATATTTAGTGGAAACATACAATTTTCAACCGGACAGTGACTCGAGAACGTTTAGATACAGTCGAATTTCCACCAAAGACGAGCCTCTGTATAAGTATAAAAGAGGGTGAATAATGTGGAAAATAATAATAATAATAATGACAATAATAGTAATGATAATAATTTGAATCATTTGATTGTTTTTCGAAGCGAGAAAAGTTGTTTCCATAGATATAGAGAGTTTATCATTTGCGTGTGGGCTGTGATACTGCCCGGGTGCCCAGACCGAAGCAGGTGGTTATCTTAGGGGGCCACACCCCGAGCCTTTGACCTAAAGGTCTAACCCACAAGGCAGTGAAGCAACGTAAGGAGATGCAGTCCCATGGTAGCCGGTGACCAACGATTGGTTCATACGCCATTTGTTCCCGCAGGATACTGGAGCCCATGTGCACCATTGGTTTGGGATCCGGTTAAAGCGCCGGACATTCGCTTTTCGTCCTCTGAATTTCGTAAACAACACCCCCGCCACGAGAAGGCAATGAGTAGGACTTCCCTGGCAGAGGCTGTATACGCGTGGCTGTGTGAGAGTATTTCGAGAGGGAGAGCGGACTCTCCCCACTCGGGGGCATTTGATTATTTGTGTTTATTAAATCATTTGCTGTCAAATGACGACGAACTCTGCGGTCAAGATTGAAGTCTTCCAATTATTTTCAAGGTACAGTAGCGACGTAGTCTATAATCTCCCTCCTAGCTTATTTGTGGTATTCCATATGTTAATGTTTAAAGTCTTGATCATCATCACTCTGATTACTATTTCGGTGATTGATCTTATTAATAGTATTAATAGTATTGCTTCGTGTTTATCAAACTTCATAGTTTAAGTTTTATGTTGGGTTAGAATTTCATCAATTTAACTCAATACATTGAGTAGTAGATGACAAGCACCATTCAACTATCTATCTTTGGTGACCTAACATTAATTATTTTGTAATACTCAATTACTATTTTTTGAAATGATCAATGAAGTGAAATAAATTTTTATTCTGTTACCTATTATAATGACATATATTTACTTTTTTAGTAAAATAATGTTAATACAACCTTATTGTCTAATTAATCTTAATTTCTCAGCACTAATCAGATCATTGTACCTGGTAGAACTGTAAGACGAGCATTCGTATAAATCAGTTAGTCCTCCTAAAGGAAATTCTATTTCTCACTGGACACTATTTAAATAATGAAAAACATCTACTTCACTAATTGTCTTGTCATTTATACTGTCCAGTATTTCTCGATTTCTTTTATAGGGTAGGAGATGGTGGCAAAATCAAGCAGAGCCATGGCAAATCTTAGCTTGTTGTATCGAATTAAAAAACGCTTTGTCACATCCATCTGGACCAGAATCATATGTTTCTCATTTTCCTGTTCATCAAGATGGTTCTTGTAATGGATTACAACATTATGCCGCCTTAGGCCGTGATCTTCGAGGTGCAAAATCAGTTAATCTTACTAGTATGGATTATCCACAAGATTTGTACAGTGACGTTGTTGAAATCGTAAGTATTCATTAGTCTGTTTACACAACTCTATATTCTTATCTAGAAGTGTTATATTTAATGCATATTTTAACTCGAATCTTTCCCCTTTTACTAGGTAGAAGAACAAAGGCGTATCGATGCTGATGGCGGGAACTCTATTGCTAAAACACTTGAAGGTTTTGTTCGGCGTAAAGTTATCAAACAGTCTATAATGACTACGGTTTATGGTGTTACTCCATATGGGGCTACTGAACAAATCCGTAAACAACTTCGCGACCTACCTGATTTTCCCAAAGAGTCTTTACTCCCTGCTTCTAGATATTTGGCTCGTTTAACACTGAATAGTATCGAAAAAGTTTTTACGTCTTCAGTTGATATTCAAAATTGGCTTTGCAAAGTAATCATCTTGTCGATTGATGTCTCACTATTCTTATTGTAACGGTTTATTTTATTCTTTATGTGACTTGATTTTCAATAATATTTTCGGTTTATCATATAGCTGAACTCACCATTATTCCTTTTAGGAATTTTTCACAGTTTTGTCTCAATAACGTCCTTTAAAAACAAGAATTTACTATAGTAAAACGAGTTACTCATTTAATCTAATATTGAAATTCATCACTACCATCCACATTTCAGTGATTTTCACTGTTATATTTGCATTCTGCGTAAAATATCTATCACATTCTGTAATTTTCTTCTAAAGCAGTTCTTCTTAGTCAAAGCACTGGAACTTCAACTGTTAAGTTACAAATTTTAACATCACTTCACCTATGTTGTGTCATTTAAGTAGTATAGTTATTTTTTACAACGTGTAGCCTAAACGAGGATATAGAAGTTAGTATCCCGTTACTGCGTTTTTACATTAAATCTTACAGTTGCATGCCTACAAAGATTTTGAAAGACGTTTTAAAACTTCAGTATTTTCTCATATAGGTTTTATAATATAGGTTACTCTACTCTGTAATGTTTTCTCGATGCTGTCAGTTACAAGTAAACCTAATAATATTCGTTGCTATGTTTCATGTAATTTTCAGTATCGTTCAAGAACTTACCATGATAACATGCTTCTAGGCTATGGTAAAATTTTTATTCATTAATGAAAGGAATTTATCCAAAATACACACTACCATAGTTAGCTCCATTTCGGGTTACTTATTTTTTACTTTCCTTCAAGCATCATAAATATGACATTTCATTAGTTACAAAATACGCTTACCCTGAAGTATATTCACAGTGAGTGAACAGACGGGTAACAGTATTCAAAGCATAGAACAAGAAAATAAGTAAATGATAAGAGTTATAAGGAAAAAAGAGACATTGAAATCATGAATTGATCAATGTTAGACCACCATTGAAAACCTAGAAGCACAAGACGGCCGTTTTTTTCTTAGTATGGGACTTCTCAGCAGTGCATATCTTCGATCCTGCACATGAGATTCGAATCCGGGACCTTTGGTCTAGCTCAAACGCCTAACCTCTAGACCACTGAATTGACATTCACACAGGGCTAATGTCTAACTTTAATAAACCCACGATGTGGCGCGACCATCTTCCGTTGGATGTCGGCTCAATGGTCTAGGGGCTAAGCTTTTGCGCAAAACCGAAGGTCTATCATTCGAACCCCATGTGCAGAATCGTAGATGAGCATTGCTCTCAGGTTTACAATGGCGGTCTGATTTAGATAGGTTCATGATCTCAATAAAATTCAGCAATTTCCACAATCCCAAACCAAAAAATAGAAATACTTCCAACAAAATACATTAATAAACTTTCATCGCCTTTTACTTACGGCTTAGTCACTAGTCGTAATCAATCTTAAACCTGACACATATGTACGTCAGCATCACGAGAGGAAATTGATAAGCTGAATAACAAAGAAGTCGAAATAACCGTAGTGGCCAATGCGAATGACTAAACATTGAAGATATGGTTCGAGAAGTAGTGGAACTCAAGATCTGAAGGAAGAATAAATGTGAATACATATGCACTGCCGCTACCTATTCTGAGCTGTCACCCAACATTTCCAACCACTGATCACGCAGACCCTAACCAGGTAGTCTGCTGATATTGTTCAAACCAACCATCAATAACTTTATAAACCGATGCCACATCTTTGTTTGGCTGCCCTTATCTTTCTTCCAACTTAATATCACTCCAGTCAAAATTGCATTTCGAGGTGTGCAATGGTTATGGACATGTTGTACATGTCTCAGTCGATAGAAATTTTTAGCTTTATATACCAATTTGTCATTTTTTATCTAGCATTGCCCATCTAGTTATGTCACAATACACAAGCAATGTTTCGATGACACCTGTGATCAAAAACCATCAGTCTACTGAAGTCCTTTACTTTCGCAACCCATGTTTCACATCGATAGAGAATTACAGGGCAAACTGCCGCGCAGTTTATCCGCGATTCTGTTTGGATATGGTTATCCCACCTACACTACATGTGAAGCAAGTTGGTAAAATCCAAAAAAGCTTCCTTAATCTGTCCCAAGACTTCATTGGACACCAACGCACTAAAGCTAATGAGACCTCCAAGATAAATACAATGATCACTTTTTGTCGATTATTAACTCTTCCTGTACAATATGATACTTATTTACTGAGTTTTCAGGTATCAATGCCAAAGTTGAATTTGTTGGTTTCAAATAAACTGAGCATTGGGAGAAAGTTATATATATATATATATATATATATATATATATATATATATATATATATATATATATATATATATATATATACTCATTGGAATATCACGAATAGTATATTTATTGATACTGAATTACATTTTAACCTTTACGTTTGTCTCCATAAAACAGAGTACTCATACTTCACACCACTCTAACGGGAATGTATTATTCAACGTTAAAAATGACTCAAGAACAAATTAGTGGAAACCAAGTAGGATAGGAAATCATCTACAGGGTATATTATTTTTACCTGATCTATTGAACTGTATAAGGATGGAGAGTTGTGTGAAATGAATCAGATAACTAAACAAAATATTATATGATTAACTTGAAATCCAGATATGATTCCGACCCAGTTGTGTAGAACATCAAATCAGTAATTGAGAGCTTCTTGATTCCAATTCACCAATGTCTTATGATTTCCGAGTAAGTGGTATGTAAAAATTTGTTTCAAGTCTAATTTACTGGTATTTTTTACTTTTCTCTTAGATTGCCAAATATATATCTGGAGATTTACAACATAGAGTTAGCTGGCAAACCCCTCTTGGTCTACCAGTTATACAACCATATATCCAGTCAAATAAAAGTTCGACTGATTCTGATGATTATACAGTTAACTATTATAGCCAACTTATTGACAATAATCAGAAACTAGATTTACTAAAGAATGATAAAACGGGTGACAATTTGATATCGTTGCCAAAATCATCTAAACAGACAAGTGCTTTTCCACCGAATTTTATTCACTCATTAGATTCATGTCATATGATGCTAACGGGTTTGCAGTGCTTAAAAGAAGGCATTGTTTTCGCCTCTGTACATGATTGTTTTTGGACTCATGCAGCTACTGTAGATAAGTTGAATCGAGTAAGAACTTTAATTTACACTAATTATTGGTATCTTCTCTGTTTTTCCTTATCTTTTAGTTCATGGTCTTTTGTATCTTAGAATTTTAAGTAAATTAACAGACGTTGTGAAGTTGAGTTTATTTATCTGCTTGTTTAGTCTGTTTTGGGCAATATCTCACTCGTCCAACTACCGAGTCAACAATTTACACAATGTGTAATACCATTGGACCTCATGGACATGAAATGTTTTTTACAGTTTATTTCATACACTTTAAAGTACTTGACATGATAGCGCTTATTGTATGGGTTCTCATTCTATCCTTTATGTAGAGATCGATTTACCAAGCGTTCATTTAGGTTACTCAAACGTTTCATGCACACACAATTTCAATAAGGTCAGTTTTAGTTAAACTTCATAGTTTGAAAATAATGTAATCACCAGTTTCTTAATTTATCTAATAACCATTTTTTGATTTATTCCATTGTAATAATAAACATTTTATTGATGATGTTAGTAGCAATAGTGATGGGAACTGTCTCTAAGCAATAGAAATCGCTAAAATCACAAATTACGTGAAAAACACTTGATATTGTTTGGTTTGTATCTTCCCATTGAGATTTAAGACTGAAATTGATCAGTATGTTATTGGCATATGTGCATACTGTGCGTATGCCTCGATATTACCTTAATTCACAAGCTATTTGTAAGCAATGATGGATAGTGGCTAGCAGTGAAATCCAGGACGCGCGTTTCGTCCTATTTGGGACTCGTCAGCTGAATGTACCTGCATCTCAGAGAGTTGATGTTCACTCTGGGACTCGAACCCAGTACCATTCGCTTCAAACGCCATCGCGTGAAAAACGTAAATATTTGTAACACTGGGACTTCTTTTTTAGCATATGAGGCATATTGTACAGTTATTAAATTACGTTACTTTATTGGAATAATATTACGTTCAATAGTATGTACAAAATAGGAATCACATATGCGAGCAAACAATAAAAAAATTTCGGAATTCTATTTTGCTTCAGAAGAACCTAATACTTGGCTATTTTCGTTAATTAAACCACTTGGTTAAGTAAATTCTCTGAAAAAAGCAATTATAGACAATAAGATAGAGTATATTAGTTACCTTTTGCCTCTTATTAGGATGATGACGATTAATCTCATTTTCGGACTCACTAATTCTATTAGGCACCAAACCTTTTTAGAATAAACATGAAGATATGAGAAGCTAAACTTCTGTTTACTACTACACCATGTACACTTTCAGTGGATTTTTATAGGGAGTATCTGTTCAGTATATTATACTCATTGAGGTTGTTTACTCAAGCATTTGCCCTTGAGTCAAAGTGAATAAGTATCTCTCATCTGCATTTATGTTATTCAGAGCTCTGTATTTTTTTATATTATGTTTTCTCATTAGTATTGTCATAGACAGACAGTATAGTCTTTTTAAGTGGAAATGTTGAAGATATGTAATCTTTTGAATAGCTCAGATAATAATATAAGATGGAATGTCATTTCATTCACAAACTACACTTTCATGTTTCCCCTTCATACAAATGTTCGCATACTTTTGTACATCACTAAGTTGTTAATCGGTATTCAAACCGTTCACTTGTTGAATTCAACTAGGAAAAATCTCCACTAGTACCTCACTACTTTAATATCTAATCATCTTTTGCTTATTTTACTCATTTAAATCAATATCAAGATTTCAAAATTCTCATAATTTAACTTTTCTTCATACTACATTATTCATAGATATGCCGTGAAGAATTTATTGCCCTTCACAGTCAATCAATATTAGGCGATTTTGCTGATTATGCAAAACAAAGGTTTGGATATACAGACAAGTACGTTGATATTTTTAACTTTATACGATTCCAAAGGTATTTTCATATATTGAGATGATGAAGAAAGTTAAAGGCCTCACTCCTGCCTAAAGATTTTTCCGATGTTATGCAGAAGAACAACGAAAACTTCACGACTGACTAGACAATCCAGCTCAGAAAACGAAATTCTACCAAGAAGGATTATCATATAATTTATGTCAATGAATAGGGCAACAATCGAGTTTTATTGTAGAACAATTTGTCTACACTTATTCTTATCGTCAGTGGATTTTTTTTCAGTACTGCGACAGTAATAAAACTAACCATAAAAATTCCTAATTATAAAATCAAAACTTATAATTTACTTGCAGTAACAATTAATTAGCACTAAATTTAGTCCTAAATATAAATGTCTTAAGTATGAAGGAGTGTAAATCAACTGGACAATAAATCTGCAGTCCATACGTTGGACTTCGTGTTAGTTGTAGTTTGTTTGTTTATAATCTTCTATTTTTTGCCAGTGCTAATCGAAGACAATATATTTAGTTTGTTTAATAACTATAGTCTTGGTTTATTTTATGTTCTACTAGTTTTCTGATATATTTCGATTATTAATTTTAAGGATATTGAATATGTACCTAGCGTTTTCCAAGTTTCAAGATAGTAGATATCGACCCCCTGTTTATCTTATTCTGTTCAATTTTAATTTGTTATGGGAATCTCCTAAAAATCTTACTAATCAGTTAGATACTACTAATTTACTCTTGCCATAAGGATTCGTAATCAAAACAATCATATCAATAATAATTTTTACTAACGATGGACTAACATAGTGAAAAATGTTGTTTATATTCGTTTAGAAAGAAGTTTGATTTATATAAAAGCCTAGTTACTTTTCTCTTTTTGCGCTTAGCTCAGGATTTTGAAACATGACTAACTTGAAAGAAAAAACTATTGTGACCGCACTAACCACGCTGTTTAGATATGAGTATAGCTCATAACCAAACCATCTAAAATCGATAACACATGACGTTTTTTAGTCAGTAATTACGGGAAAACAAATACAAGTAAAAATATTGATTAGCAATGGAAATTTCGTCATTCGCTACATTCAGAGTCACCTTTTTGCCTAAAAATTTTCCACACTCAAAGCACTTGTCACATTTTCATCTTCTTTCATATACACAACCTATAGTGATCATTACGTTTGTAATATATCTGCGTTTTTGTCCTAGACAAATCAATGAATTTAAAAGTGGGAAGAAACGAGATCAGGCATTGGCTTTCAATCGTTTACTTTCGAATCTCCCTAAAAGAGGTCAGTTTCTAGTTGTATTTTTTCGAATCTATTCATTAATCGGCATTCGCTCGATTTTCTGTTTCTAGTATTACACAGAACATTGCAAACAACGTCACTTCAAACAAACGTAGTCCATATTTGGGGATTGTTCCAATCCCTTAGGATAATGTATATGGGTATGGTTGGCCACTGACTCCTTTTATGTCTTCATATCTACGTGCACCATATATTTCTAAAATCCTAAACATTTCAATGATCAATATGACAGCGAAAGTTTTTCTTGTATTCCTTTCAAACCTAATTTTTAGTTAGCACGTAAATAAAATTACTCTTTTAAAGCTTACTCATTGGTGTGAAACTATTGTTCTTTTCTGGTGTTTGTAGATTTGTTTGTAGTTTTTATTTTCTAGATAAAGTTTGAACTTATCATCCACCGTTACGTTTACGGTGTTATGAGATACACTTTTTGTGCAGAAAACATTATTTTATTTGAGCTTGTGTCCAGTTTCCCCGAACACAAACGGTTCTGTTTTCATATCAGCTTCCTGTAAAGATATATATATCTATTTGGATCATGTTTCGGTAAAATATAGTAATGGTCATTTGGATACGTATGCATTCAAATAACAAGTTTCATGTAAGACGAGAATGATCATTCTTTATTCCACCTTTAATCATTATCAAACAGCATTAGAGTCCAATGTATTAGATATTATTCTATACACTAATTTATCAACATAATGTTTGGATAAATTTAGCCGTAACCATCACCTCGTCTAACTTCTGTTTTCAATGAGTAGGAATTATTTAATATGATAATTGTGCATAAAATATGCACTTTTCTATTTGTATTCAATAATTTACCTTAATAAACATTAAACTACTTTTATGCATCAAAATATATAATGTTTCCCTCTATATAATTTATATAGGTTCGTTCGATTTGTCCGAAGTTATGAAAGCAGAATATTTCTTCAGTTGAACAAATCATTTGCGTCATAGTTATATACAGAAAATACACTGTACATAGAGTTGATTAGAATATTTTTACATCATTATGAGTTTGTAAATATAATTCAACTTTTATTTATTTTTGTTTATCAATTTCCTATGTTTACGATTTCGAAAACAAAGTAAGCAACTAAGATTTAAAAGTATAGTCGGCTGCATAATTAATTAGTTTGGATCTCTGTACAAAGTAATTTTTAGAATAATGAACATATACCGAAATCTTGGGACTAACAACATCAGTTTTAGAATTAAAACCAGTCTACAAAACCAGTCACTGTAATACCATTATATTTCTGTTCTCTAATATCCTAAAATCACTTGGGAAATCGGTTTACGGGACACGTCCTAACCAGATCGAACCACAATTTCTGATAATAATTAGACTATAAAAACTAAATAAGTCATTTATCTTTAAAAAAAATAAGAGGAACTACAACTTGTTACATGACTGACGGGTTGATTAACTACTTTAAATATTTCAATCTATGAATACTACCAATGAAATTACTCAGCACCACTTACAAAGTTTACCACAAATTATAAAGAGAAGAATGTATCCCCAATTTAAGAGTTACATCGGCACTTTATTTAGTATAATTTAAAGAAACTATCGCTCGATCTTGCTTGCTTCCAAAAACAGAATTTCTTTTATTCAGACTACTCTTATCCATTACTGAAAATTTCGATACCCAACCGTTTGTCAAGTTTAGTAGTGAACTGTATAATAATAACATCGAAACTGATGTAGTTAAGCAATCACTTATTAGTCTTAAAAATAAAGAAGGTGGAAGGAATAATGGTTAACCTACATAAAGAAAACCAGACTTTGGAAATAAAACGGCAAACTAGAATTATGTACAAGAAACCAAGTGATCGTGGTCTTCAACAGCCAAAACTAATAATAATCACCCATAAATATAGAGCCCATTAGAAATCCGATATAGCGTAACCAACATCTCAATAGTACTACATAATGTTCGTACTGCTACTCATTTGCCATTTCAATATGTATGCGATATTTTAGCTACTCCCTGAATGACATGGCTCTGAATCGTTTGCAATGGCGCAGGTGCATCCACTCTTTGTGTTCTCCCAGATTCTAATCTTCTGAATTCTCCATGCCCCTTTTTTCCTCTTTCCAAATTTATTTCACTGGATTATACTCTTTAAATAACATCTCAAAACACTAATCTTGCCTATTACTGCTTATACTCTTGCTACCTCTACTACTACGGGATTTGAATCGACAACTGCATCTCTGTGCTAAGGTGGTGTAGCAACTCGAACTGATGTACGTACGTACGAAGTTCTACGTTGTTACTGACTGATTTTAGCTACTGGACTTTATTTAGTGGGTTTGACGAAACACCCTAGATCTCATTGAATAATCAGTAAATTCCAACCTAAGGAAAGATGAATATTTAGTTGCCAGGTTACTTTTTGCGGATAATACTTACTATCAGGACCGACCGTTTCGTAAGGACGCTGACAAACTGCAGTCTCCTAAATACCTTGGATTGGACAAGATTTTCGTCCGCTTACCAATCAACTAAGTAGCAGTCCGCTCCTTAGTGCATTGTGGTTGTGAAACATGGTCCTCAAGGATAGATGACATGTGCACAATACAATTATTTTATCGTGGATATCTTCCTAACATGCCGAGATATGATAATCACCAAGTGAGTAATGATAAGCCTACGTGCGGTGCATTGAGTGAAGGTGGGAAATCCAGTAAGTCTATGGAACTCCGTTAATTATCTTCCTCGCCATTTAATTCTGGCTTTTATAAAAATAGGTTGGGTGAAATCTAGGAACCTTCGAATCATAACTTGACAAGAATCCATTGAGTCACTAACTTGTTCTGAATCATGTTACTAGATTCTAGCTTCCTTGTTGGATTCTACACGACAACTATGATCGGTTTGGTGAGGTGGATAACGCCTTACAATCAGTCTCCTTGGTTCGAACATGTCCATTCTTCATTTCCTATATCTTAAGTCATGAAATGATTAGATTACTCTGTTCCTTCCAAGTCATGTGTCGGACAGTCTTGCGAAAACAAAGGATAATTCTCGACTTCGCAAAAGAAGCTGTATATTGCTGAACATAACCAACTTTATTGTTCATCACTTACGGTGGTGTTTAAAACTAAGGAAAGAAGTTACATTGGGGACATCCAACGCTAGAGGATCACCACTAGCTAAACACTAAAGGTGAGATTACACCTCATCAGACCCCCTCACCTCCCAGGTTAAAGATAGTGTCTCAATGGAGAATATTTTGTAAGATGTGACTCCTGTAGTACGGAAAATTAAAAGAACTGTGGACCCCATTTCTGCGCCTGACTGAACTACTTGTGCCCATCAACGAAGGACCCTACGCTTATTAGAATTTACAGTCGTATAGAGAAAAGAACAAGACGGCACCAGCCCATGAACGTAGATAAAGGCTTGTAGCATACGACTCAGTCAACATACGCACATCCAATCTACTTTTCTGTTGTGAGGTATGTCTAAAACACCTGCCCAGACTTTACTAAATGTCGACCGACCCTACGATTTTCTGGTTGGCTAAAACCTCAGTAACTACGTGTTCCATTTTACATCTTTTCCTTGTGAGTCGTGTGAAATCATAAATAGACACGGTCGATAAGCGAAGTAGATAGCATATAGTTGCTACTATTAATTTAGTTTCAATAATTCCATGTTAGCATTGTTGGACGAAAGGGATCTACAATCCACGGACAAATCCCGCTTTAGGTAGTTGCAGCAAAGTCCCAACTAAATTGCCGCATTATTTAATCTTATCTACACTGGTCGTTATTTAGTGAAAAGAATGTGAACGCTGAATATTATCTGGTCTGTCTCAGTAACGAATACACGATATTGCATGCATGACGCGTCTCAATGTTTAAAATAATATTTGTCTCGAACAGTAATCCTTGATAAATACATATTATTTTAGCGTAGATCAATATAATTAAAAGGATTAATTAAAAGTATATACAACTTAAAGAATCAAATCATTCCGAACCGCTTTTCATTTAATCTCAATGCCGCCTTGAATGTTTATGCTTCGATTTATGATTTTGCTTCGGGGACTTGTCTGAAAGCTTCGAAAGCTTTTTTAGTAGCTTTTCACGTTGTCTTTCGGTGAGGTTTTTGAGGAATTCCATGGCTAGAGAATCTTCTTCTTCAGATGTTTGCTTTGAGACACTGGTCAGTGCACTCTTTGCTTTGCTAAATACAGATGTAAAACGGTCCAGATCAGTTCCTCGCTTCAAAGTAAGCCCCTCTTTTTGTAGATTTTTTTTAACTTGGTCAAGACCAATCATATCGCTTGTTGTTGGTTCCTTAGTGAAAGACTGACCAAAAAGTGGACAAACACGATCAGTGTTTAAGTGCCCCCATTGTTTGCACCGCATGCATCGTACGTTTCGGACTTCGATGGCAAAAGGCTGATCTATGATCTCTGACGAGTTTTTGCAATAGCTTTCTCTCGGAGCACAATATTTCCTTTGCCATTCAAACTTCACCTCTCTGTCGTCAGGTTGCTCCTATTCAGATGATTACTAACATATACTCCTAAACTAACCTTTTCCATTAAAGCAGGCTGGTCATACATCCATGCTAAGCCTAGCCTAGCTTTTTCATCACCTAGAAGGACACGGTTTTCAAGTGTTTCTTGTTCCCGACGATATTGATTTAGTTTCTCTAGTTCCTTTTTCGTATCGTACTCATTTGCCTGTTCAGCCATCCACTTTCTCTTTATGTTTTCGAAGTTTGTTGGGTGGAAAAACTTCTTGCACATATAATTATTATATCCTTTCCCCATCTTTAACAAGAGACGTACCGCAAAATCCGATAAGCGCCACTCCAGATAATGTTTTATGTCTTTGTGAGTAGCAGACTTAAACTAAATGATTTATTTTATACTGGTTTAACTGCACAGTCAATTCACGGCGACTGAGTGCCTACGTGTTTTTTTATCAGAACCGGTGAGTGTTCTCATGATAGCGATGTCACTGGAAATCATACATATCGCTTCATTAGAAGTACTGGACAACTCTAGTGCAACTTTTTGGCATAAGACAATCTCTGTTGTGCAACTTATTTTCGTTCGTTACTAGTAGACCTATCATAGGTGCATAGATCAAGCAACCTATTTGTGTGGTGAGTTTTGGAATAGGTCAACTAAGATCCCTTTATCAGGCTCTACATGATCATATTTTAATCAGCTTAGATGCAATTCCATGCTAGAAATTCTAAGTGATGTGTTATAAATAAAGTCGTTGTGTGCCATATGTAAGAACAGGTCCCCTTACTGAGAAGACTGGATCACAACCTCAACTAAAACTGTTACAGTTTTCGATATATTCGAGAGATTATAGTTTTGTGAAAATATGATATTGAAGCCGACTTTATGGGTTTTAAATGGCACTGTGAGTCGAGAGCTTTCAATCAAACATCACATTTAGGTAGCCACTTTGAAGTGCATGATCATTATTCCTCTCCGGAGAATCAAACCAGTCCTATTGATGATGTCACAGGTATTCAGTGTTTGACAACGCTTCTACCAGTAACACCTTCTAATATATTTCGTTCCCGCCCAGAGAAATCAAAAGACAGAGTCGAGGAGATCGGAAGAGTATATTTGGCGATGACCAATATATCGGAATTCTCTGATCTAATCTGGCTAGCGATTGCGGTTGATGTTGAGCACGGCGTTACCACACGTGATCTGGTGCGGATGCCTGACCGAGCGCCTTCAGCTAGGTGAGTCCACTAAAACATATGGTCAGCATCCAATGTCGAAAACTTAGTGCTATTTATTTTGGGGATTTATTTACTGCTACAGATCACTCCCCCCCCTAGTGGGGCAGTGACGACCCTAAGACGTGGCCAGCCAGAAGTTTAAACCCAACGAGTTTGTCGTTGGTAAACACTCTTCTGATAGCTTACTAAATTTAGCAGCGTCTGGTCGTCTTTCCTTACTATATGGGACGGAGGTACAACATAGTAAAAAAAGAAAATGTACATGGAAAATTTCGGATCCTCATAAACGTCATCGTTCTTTTCC